CTTTACTCTCTACACACTGCATACAACCAATAGTACATAAAAAGGACATAAGATAAGAGTCTATAGTGGCAACTTGTAGATAGAGCTACATGTACATTTATATATACAGATATTAACCCCTACATTATCCTACTTTTATAGATAATAGTTACTTGAAATACATAATATTATACAATTATTGGAAAGAATAGTTACTTACCAATAATACTGGTGTAGAATCAATACCCAGTTATTCAATCTCTCAGAGATACTAATAACCAGCCGTTCCCTCCAAAACCCAAACCTGTACTGCCCGACAAATCTAAACTTCCCAGTAAAAATCATACTTAACCTTTCTTGTGTTCTACCCAATCAAAATTACCTTCCCCGGGTCAGTGGACAGGTCAGTCACAGGTCAATCTGTACCATTACCATATATGGAAATGTCTTACCTGAACACTTTTCACTATATACCTAACCAAACCATTAAGGATACATGCCTCATGATTTTCTAAAATACTATATTTACTACCTACATTGCTCAATATATGAATTAATTAAATTATACTAATATCTGAATCATATCAGATATTACAATACATATAGCAATAAAAAAGATACATTATCTGACCCATGTCAGCAAATACAATGGTATAAAACATAACTTTAACAAACATTCAATAAAAGCAATAATTCACATAATCCACACCCTGTCACACAGGTAAACTCGGGTAAATATATCTGATAAATACTTGCAACAGTTTTTAAGGTAAGTAATAAGAAATTCAGACATAAGATAAACTTAAAACATTTTATTTATTGTATTAATATGACGTTAATGATAGACCACATGAAGATTACAATTAATAAACATTAATAAGCATATTATCATTTAAATTAAGCACAGAAATAACTTTTTCATTTTTAGTTTTATAATGTAGCACTAAATTCAACATATACATACTAAACTAAATTTTACTAATTAATTTTCAATTTTCAATATTTGATATACAAGCACTATTTTCATAAATTAAATACCTAACAGCACTAACTATTAGAATGTTCATAAACACGTATGTAGCACTAATTAATATTCACATAAAGCACAGAGTCTATTTATCCAAGATGAGGTAGCTGTGATGCTGAATCAGCGTAGGTCATCAGGCCCCACTTGTATAAAACATCTCAACTTGAGATTTCCTCAAGTCGAGATTTTCCTCAGCTGATATCTCCTCAAAAACGGCTTGTATAAATTTTCTCAAGGAACAGGAGGAAGGCATCAACTAGGATGTCCTGCAATTCCTTGAGGAATTTTCATACAAGATATTTTCAGTGAGATATCAGCTGAGGAAAATCTCGACTTGAGGAAATCTCAAGTTGAGATGTTTTATACAAGTGGGGCCAGGTCAATGGTTCCGTTTCCGTACCTTTCTTTGAGTGTTGTAAGGCGGTGGTCAATGTTGCAGTACTTCTTCGCACGCGGTCGGGTGGTTCCTCCAGATTCTTTCTGCATTCTGTTGATGACGTCGGCATTGTCTATTTCCTTGAATGTCTGTATGATGGCAAATATATTCGGATGAGCGTGTTTCACCTTCTTCTTTAGTTTCCCGTGCCAGGCTTCTAGGTTGTTCGTTGTTTATGGTCCATCTGTTTGGAAGTGATTCCACAACTGTCTGTCTCCTTCCACCCACTGCTCTGTAACATAGTCTGTGAAAGGTGTTGTGTTCTGTGGTACTTTAGCGTCTTCTAGATCTTCTAGTGTCTGTAACCATACGTCTTCTATGCAGTCCATGGGTACCAGTGGTAGAACAGCTGCACGGCGGATAAGGGTCCTAACATCTTCGTTGTCCCGGTATAGAGTTTGCAGTCCAGCGTTGTGTACTGCTACTTCAAAGTCGGCGAATGTATGGGTTGGGGCGAAAGGCAGGTACAGTTGAGTCATGTGTTCCTTGAGTAGGGTAAACAGTCGAGTGTAGATTCTTTGACTCTTTCATGGTATGAAGTATGATGCAGTCGCTGTATTTATACAGAGTGCAGTTGGCTTGAAGTGTTGAACAATATAAATTTCAAATAATTCCTTTTTCTCCTTAAATTTAAATAATATAGCATTTTAAAAAAATCTTCTTTTTTCCTAACATTTCAATTTAATTCTCAATTCAAAATCTGAAAATATCCCCATTTATGGCTTAATATTATCAAGTCACAGGTAAGTACTCCACAGTAGCTGTTCCCCAGAGCCCCCATGAGGTACCCCAATTTTGTTGACTTAAATGGTAAAAACAACACCAACTGCCATATGTGTTTTTAAAAAAGTTGACGTAAAGGGAACATTGTTAAGGGGCCCTCAGAAGGGATAACTAGTTATTACCTGTGTTACCTGTATTAGCTGCCCTAAATATTAACATGAAATTGAAGGGAAAATTTAGGGAAACAGTAGGACCGATTTATTGAACATTTATAATTATTTTATAAAATAAACATGATGATAGTGATTAAAAACAATTTTCCAAAACTGGGTTATCATATGAACTTTTTTTATAATTTGCATTGGAACCCTTAAACTTTGCTGGCAAAAGTTTATAGATACTTAATGAGATTATGTTGAAAAATAATGCAATATGTCTGCCAAAAGTCAAGCCCTTAAATATGAGGCTCACAACTCATCTGTCACTTGTCAGTGACTCATTTGTCAGATTTTAATAATATGACAATTAGACATAGACAATCCCAATCGAATCAACGAAAAATATATAAACACAGATAACAAATATTCACAATGAGACAGTCAAAATCATTCTGATTATCATTAAGCTTAATAGAAAACTATCTCTTTGCTGGTTGCAAAGTGAATTTAACATAATTATAATCGACCCCTTCATAAATGAAAATACAGCAGGTGCATAAATCAGATATAAATATACATAAGGCATCATTTACACGATACAAAAACATCCTGACTCTGGCATCATTACAAGCAGCTCATGAAAGGTAATTTCAGCAAGTTATTTCATGCAAGAGGAATAAACAACAAACAGTTCCGTCAATAGTAAAACCTGTCATAACAGTCATAAGGGAGTCTGAAGTTGGTTCCTAGTTCCTAGTTTCGTTTAAGAAAAACGGTACCAGGAACCAGATTCTTGTTCCGTTTAAGAATGTAAGTACCGTTTAAGACAAATTCGTTTATAAAAGCTATGATCGTCTTAATTTCTGTCTGAAAGATTGTAGGTTCGATTCTTGTATCGGATCGCGTGCTTGGACTTTTCGATTTGCAAACATGTACCTTTTTTTTAAACGCAACTAGAATCTAATTATCAACATTCTTTAAATATATATATATATATATACTTTACACTTAAATGCACATCGTATTTCTGATTATTATTCTCATATATATATATATATATATTAAATAACACTTCCTCTGTTTATCTGTGTTCTATTTATTACCTTTCCGATGACTATTGTAGAACACTTTCACTGTTTCATCAAAGTTCTATTGTCTGCTGTAGAACACTTTCACTATTATCAACGTTCCAATGACTATTGTAGAACATTTGCTCTGTAACAACGTTCTATAGTCTATTGTAGAACAATTTCACTGTTTCATCAACGTTCCATTTTCTATTGTAGAACGCTGGCTCTGTAACATCAACGTTCAATTGCCTATTGTAGAAAACTTTCACTATTATCAACGTTCAATTGCCTATTGTAGAACACTTTCACTGTTTCATTAACGTTCCATTTTCTATTGTAGAACACTGGCTTTGTAACATCAACGTTCCATTGTCTAATTTAGGACACTTTCAGTATTTTCAGCTTTCTATTGCCTATTGTAGAACACTTTCATTTTTTCATCAACGTTCTATTGTCTGTTGTAGAACAATTTCACTATTATTAACGTTCTATTGCCTATTGTAGAATACATTCGCTATTATCAACGTTCAATTGCGTATTGCAGAACACTTTCATTGTTTCATTAACGTTCTATTATCTATTGTAGAACACTTGCTCTGTAACATCAACGTTCAATTGCCTATTGTAGAAAACTTTCACTATTATCAACGTTCAATTGCCTATTGTAGAACACTTTCACTGTTTCATTAACGTTCCATTTTCTATTGTAGAACACTGGCTCTGTAACATCAACGTTCAATTGCCTATTGTAGAAAACTTTCACTATTACCAACGTTCAATTGCCTATTGTAGAACTCTTTCACTGTTTCATTAACGTTCCATTTTCTATTGTAGAACACTGGCACTGTAGCATCAACGTTCAATTGCCTATTGTAGAAAACTTTCACTATTATCAACGTTCCATTGTCTGTTGTAGAACACTTGCTCTGTTTCATTTACGTTACTTTGCCTACTGTAGAACGCTCGCTGTTTCATCAACCTTCCATTTTCTGTTGTAGAACACTTGCTCTGTAACAACGTTCTATGGCCTATTGTAGAACACTTTCACTGTTTCATCAACGTTCCATTTTCTATTGTAGAACACTTGCTGTATAACATCAACGTTCCATTGTCTAATTTAGAACACTACATATATATATTAAATAACATTTCCTCTGTTTATCTGTGTTCTATTTATCAGCTTTCTATAGCCTATTGTAGAACACTTTCACTGTTTCATGAACGTTCTTTTGTCTTTCGTAGAACACTTTCAGACTTTTGCAGACTTTCAGAACGTTGATAAATAGCGAAAGTTTTTCACAATAGACAACAGAACGTTGATAAATTGTGAAAGTTTTTCACAATAGACAACAGAACGTTGATAAATAGTGAAAGTGTTTTGAACGTCAATACTCAATACACGATCTTGTGAAGGCCAAAAACACAATATTGTAGAAGCAGATCTGATAGTTAGAAATGCTATACAGTTTTGTTTAAATGGCTAAATTACCAATATGATATTGTAAGAAATAAACATTTGGTACAATCATTAGAGTTTCTTTACAATCAAAATTGCAAGATTGCTTTATTTGTTTGAATCACTATAAATCAGACAGGTAAATGTTAGCTCAGTAGACTGGACTTTGTTTCAGCGCTGCAGCACATTTCTGACCATATATAAGGCATACGCCCATCAACTCCAATGTGCAAACATCACTGACAGCAAAATCGAAACATTTAATCTTTGCTATGTTGAAGAATATTCTGCCGATCTTGTTGGACACCGGAGAGTTAACTCCCTTGAGGCAGTTGTAGAAATCACGGTCACAGCTACAGTGACTGATAGGGATGATCCCTTGATTGTTGTAATAATACCTTTTCTGTAGAGCCCGGATCTTTGGTTCACAGAGGTCGTGTGAGCGACAGCACGAGTCTGTGTGTTGATGTTCTCCTAAAAAACAAAATAATACTTTTTAACTGGAAGCATTTGATGTTTTTTTTTTAATTTTTCGGCAGTAAGTATAGTGCGTCATGGTTTCGAAGAGCTCTTGAGTCGATGGTACCAAAATTGCGCCACTTTAGATATTGTATTTCTTAGTATATTTGAAGTGTTCGCAGGTGTAATTGTTCCCTTTTAATTTTGCAAACTTACAATTGCATGAAATTTTGAAGTAGTACGTATAAGATTTTCATAGAATCTGTGCCCTATTCGTCTTCCTTTCTTCTCACTGAAATATGTTTAAACTTATATGGAAGTCGTTGACTTTAATCTTTACATGTGTTTATTCTACAACTTAAGTTCATCCGCGTGTGATGATAGTATCTTGCTGCTTTGAAGTGGATTATAGGATTATATCACACTCAGTAAATGTATTATCGATAACAAAGAAAATGCAGTCCATTTGATCACCAAACACTTTGTCCTTTAGCCTGGAAGGATGCTGATTATTGGAGAACTGTCTACTGGAACAAGTGTAATGTTCAACAATAAGCAGCACCATAGTTCAGGTTTGTACATTTATATCGGGAACATGTCATGTCTAAGATAAGAAATTTAAGAATTCATACACAATTTTTTATTTGGAAATGGTGAATTTTCACCTACCTAAGTTGGTGAATACATCGTCGGCGATGTTACCAAAACCACACCAGCGAGTTCCCGGAAATATTCCCTGAAGCAGGGAATAGTCTTTTATGTCTGCCTCCCTCTCTCCTACATCAGTTTTCTCGGGGATGGAACTGAGAAATAACAGAGTTATTATATTTACCAGTTTGTTTTTGTCAAATGAAAGGTACCAACATTGTGATAACAGACTGCGTTTTGAAGCGGAAATGTTATCCCTTCACTCCTCCCCTACCCCCAAGAAAAACACGCAACAAAACAAAACAAAATAAAAACAAACAAGCAAAGACAAAAAAAAAAAAAAAACAAAAACAAAAAAACCCACAAAAAACAGAGACCGCGGTTGTTTTCTAGTATACATTATTCATGACACTAGGTACATGTACTCGTACACAATACAGCATACAGTTTAAAGTCTTACAGGATTACTGATTTTGTAGAGACCTTAGGTTAGATATTAAATGTTTCGAATAAATTCCAACATGCATTAAATCGTGAACGTAAACACACAAACTGAAACAATCAATGAATAAATATTTTTTAAAAAACCGTATGAATATCGCTATATCTTTACATATATCGGAAGAATCTTCTTCCCTTCATTGTCAGACTTTGTTTATCACTTTTTAGATTCAAATTTTCCTGCTAATATCGGTCAAAGCTTTTGCTTAAGGTAGGTGCGTCTAACAATTCGGTAAACAAAAGGTAACATAGATCCCTGAGATTCAAATTCCGTACCCGTATACTACTTCCGTGAAGTAAGCCAACAGCCTGCTAAAAACAGATTGCCTAGAATCGTTTTTATCTGGTATGTAATCCAGAGCATCTGATTTGTAACGATTCTCGGTGCTTATGCATGCCTCGTGTAAAACATCTGCGTCACCAGGATACGACACGATGCATGATGACTGTGCCGTTCCGTCAGAATTACCATCACAAGTAATGTTATCTTTGAGATATTCCTGTTCACATCGTCTAAATTTCACATCCTGTGTTCGTTTTTCAGAAAAATCCTGTTGTGTTTGAATGTAATGAGTAATGTTTTCCGCGTAAATTTTATATAACATGTAACCTTTCGGACACTCGACATGTGGATATTTCTTCAAAGTTAAAAGCAAATCGTCGAATTGTTCTTTGCCAAACTTCACAATAAAAGTGTATGATATGTAGATAAAAAGCAACAAAACCAATATCTTCTTCCCGTCCATCATGTCATCTTGGACTTCCGGTGATGAAAACGTCACAATATGTGTTTGAAACGTCATCAGTTTAAATGTACGTTATTCAACGTCATGTTGACGTTTTTTCCACAAAGTAAAGAAACTCACTAGCAAACACTATACCAAGCAATTAGGAGGTTACATAATTGTTTTTCCCTACTAGCTTTCAAAAGTTCATGAATAGTCTTCATACGATGGTGACAGTGGTCTTCCGTGGAAATGAATACTGCTAAATGTGAAGCATTGCAGAAGCAATACACGGTTGCACTCTAATCGTTTATAAAGATGTTGTCCTGTATTGTCTCGGAAGATATTCGGAAAAAAATATAGTGGAATATAACTTCAATAAATGCGTCGCTTTTTCTGTACGCCTGTTGGGTATATCTCACCAATGTTTTTGTAGACAATACTGTAGAATAATTCACTTTCGTAGTATTTGTTTTTGCCTAGTTGAATTCATGGCAGCTTTTACTACATGAACAGAAAATATTTACTTTTTTCAGTTGATTTTATGCACTAAATACACTAAAGCAACTCATTTTTGTACATGGTATTTTCTGCAACCATATCGTAAACTATAAAAGCACATGAATTTTGTCAAGTGTGTGTGTGTGTGTGTGTTTTTTTTTTTTTTTTTTTTTGTCAAATTCTGCTTTTCTTCAAGTAGTCTTATGACAAAATCCAACTGCTTTTGTACTTGCTGACAAAAACAAGATGCTAATGGTATTTCAGTTGACAAGGCTGGTAAGGGCCATCTTGTTTAGTATCTTGTAAAAATACACGGTACTGCGTGACAATCCACCTGAAAAAGGGGGTGAGGTGGGTGGCTTTCCGTGTTTTTATGAGTGATATAATACAATGAAGATAATTACATACAATGTGTTGTCTACTCAAGAAGATATAGAAATCCATACACTAGATTTTTGTATAACACTTCATTTATAAGTATACTTTACTACATCACCTAAACTCAAAATCTATAAGGTAGACGGAGGATAAATGCTAATGTTACGGGGAGATTAGCGTTTTTTGCTTCTTAAACAACACCCGTAATGGTTCATTTCAGTTCGGTTTAAATGCTTTGGTTTATTTGTCGGAACATCCATTGGTTCTGGATATATGGTCCTTGGAAGAATTAGATATGTATCCAGTGGGGTATTGCGCAAGTGTACACGTGTGTCAACACCGTTATATATTGCTAAGGTAAAATACTAGGCGTAAGCTAGCATCAAAGTGTAAAATAGAATGTTAAGGGATTTATTTACATCAATGATTTCTGATCGGAAAAATCCATTGTTTGACAACTTTTCGGCACAGAAAACACACTTAAATCACTTAATATTAGAAGCGTGCTCGTCCATCAATAATCGATTTCCTGATAGTGCTCAAAGCATAATATACGTAAGTTATATAGTTATGAAACAACGATTAGCTCTACATTTATATATTATTACAGAAAGAAGCATTCGTTGTGGATATCGTAAAGAACAACTTGATTGAAATTAATAATTTATAATTGACAACAAATAATGCCTATTCGGTTTTCCTACTGACATCAATGAAACTATTTCATGATGTTTTAGAATGTATTCAATCTCTTCAATCCCCTTCTACCAATTTGCGGGACATTTTCGAATAGTTGAGAGGAAAAGATTGTAGATTATTGTGTTATAATGTTATAACCGGTTCATACACAAACGGAAATAGTTGTAATGTCTGAGTTACGTCCCTTTGTAGTATTTCTCTACATATAGAGATTAGAAAACAAATAAAGTTTATAGGAGAAAACGGAATGAAAGGTAAGAATAGAAGATTATATCTAGGCCTATCGGAGCCGAATTTTATTCGTTTTATTAGATAATGTCAGATGACGCTTACTCAGGTTTCAATTTAATTGAGGACACTCATTAGACATTCTTCAATCTATTCAGATGAGCAGAAATCGTAGAAATAGCATTTGTCGTCTGCTTTTAATACAACTGACAATCTCTTTCATTTCAGACAAGAATGCAGGACCGTAGTATTTAAAGGACGCCGTAATCATCAGTCACATAAGTAGATATTACCGAAAAACGATTATGAAGGTAATTAACAGATCTTATATTGAGGCTGAGCGATGTGTATTTCAAATTGGTGAAAGTATTCAACATGAGTTTTCCAGGAATAGAGAGTGTTTCAGTATAAATTTTGTTAGACATCGTCCTAAGTTGAAAAAAAAATGTGTTATGTATTGGTATGAAATGTAAATTTTCATTTCTTTATTGTTTAATTCCTGTTCATGTAGAACTTAAACAAATTTACTTGTGTTAAATTCAATTCAATTCAGAAATCCACTCCAGCGCCCATTTTCAATCATCGGAAAAGACCACGACAAGCTGTTATAGCTGACCCTCAAACTATTGATGGACCTGGAACCGGCACGCCAGTCAATACACCTCAGTCGTCGCATCATTATCAAGGTTATACATCCTGAACTTTCTCTCTCTCTCTCTCTCTCTCTCTCTCTCTCTCTCTCTCTTTTATCGATGGCAGTCGCTCAGACTTTTTGTTCTAAATATCAGTTATAGATGAATAACTGTTAAAACATATTCCACTAACGAAATTGACAGTCTACCAATATTCAAAGGGATATATATTGTGATTGCATAGTAGTAATATTTTTATTTTTTGCAAAACAAAATGTGTACATAGGTTATCAATAGCTACCAGTGTATCAATACAGTGATAAACTGAAAAGAACTTGATTTATTTTAAAGTTATATAACACTACACAAAATTAAAAACATATATAACAAGTTGAAATTTGGTTTCAATAGAAATTTCTCTGCAAAATTATTTCAATTCTGTGGTTAAATCCCTCAAACAGTTGTAGAACGTTTCTGCAAAATGATGTGATCCTGCAAATCATATTAACATATATTGTTAGTAGACACATATTGCAATATATTGACTCTTTTGATATTCTGGAGTTGAATTATGAACTATTGTTCTTTTGCCTTGTTACCTAAACATATTTTTTACATGAAAAGTTTATTCCTTTAACACAACACAAACATACGTATACATAATCGGAGTAACCAAGTACAATTTAATTATTCTCCCAGTGTTTCAAAGCATTCCTAAACAAGATGCGGCTTTGAGTTTGCTATATACATGCTACTGATATACATTTCAAGGAAAGAATTTAAAAAAAAAAATTGTACCCAGTAAGTAATATGGCTCAAATTTACATTTTGTTTAATTCAATTTTCCCCTCCTTTCTATCCTTTTTATCGCAAAACATTTTCACTTTAAACTTTTCTAGGTAAATAGTTTTATTTAGTGCACTCCTTAAAGCTGTTTAAGTGCAGATGAAATGTGTAATACATTTGTATGATATAGCATTTTTCATTTTCCCAGATTTAATGCCAGTTCGTGGCTTTGACGGACAGGGATATGTATCCAGACAAACAAGGCAGGGGTACTCACAATCATACCAGCAGAACAAGTCCCAACAGGGCCAACAACAGTATCAACTGCCAAACAGACAGCAGCAGCAACACAAACAGCAATATTGTTAGTATCAAATTTACATAGACAGTTTCATTGTAATCATCATAGTTCTGAAGGAAATAGCCAAGAGGAAAATTTCAGGAACAAATGTCAAATATTTCTTCATGATTATGTTACAGTTCATCGTCTTGATTTTTTTTATTGATAGTTCTCTTTATGATATATTGTTTTATCAGGCTAAAACACCATGTCTGACCTCTATATTACATAACTGTTAGAACCAGTATCAGTGAATTCTATTTCATTGTCCTGTATCATCTATTTGTGTGTTGTAATTTTTTACAACATACTGTAAGCTTATTGTAGAATAAATTTATCAACTGCATATATGTATATATTTTGCCCATTATTTCAAATTAGTTTAAATGCATATGCAACGACAAAGGACAATCCTAAAAAACATGTAAAAGGGGAACATTTTGAACATAACTCCAGTTTGATAAGGTCATTACAAATTAAGATAGTTTCAATTAAATAGGTAATAGAGAGAAGGAAGATAAAATTATTGGGATACTTTCTTTCTGATTAAACTGCATGACTGAAAGGCCCCTCTTCTAAACTAGGTGAGCTCTTCCTGTTACAGCAGCATATGATATAAACAAACCAAGCCCTATTAGAGAGTCACAGATACAGAATGCAGGTCACCAGGGAGAAAGTGTGATGACAGGAGGCAACACGGCTCTTAGTTTTTCAAACTGTGATAGAACAGGTAAATCTGAGCATGGATGGCAGACAGACAAATATCAATCTCTGGCATGGAGTACTGGGCAGGCATCATACACCAACAGACAGGGAGTTAACAGTTATACAAGTAACCAGAAAACACCACAAAGGCCTCCAACTATCAGGAACAACCACACCAATTGGTATGGGCAACAGCAAAGCAGGTACTACCTACAACATATTGCTCAAATTTTCAAATGTTTAGAACTGTCTTTCTTGGTACTACATTGAAGTGACCTTTTTAATCAATGATATTGACATCTCAAAAATAGTTACTGTAAATTGCTTTTTGCTTTGACATCACTAATGGCAACTCAATAACAGCAAATTGGAAAGATTTATTACTGAAAGAAACTAGCAAGAATAAAAAGTCCAATGGGTAAACTTTGCTCATCTTGTATGCAATGATGTCCAAAAATGCATGAAAATTTCACATGATTAAATTGGCATTCAAAGTCTAGACATTCAAAAGAAAGTCATTTGAAAGTTTTTACAAAATTGAACTATGTGACATTGAATATTGATAAAGTTTGTTTCTTTTTGAAGACTTTGTCTGGCCTATCTTTTGGTCAATCAGAAGGTCTTCAATGTGACCCATGTGACCATGAATAAGGGTTAAGGTCATATCTTTTCACAAATTTTGTAAGCTTCAGGCTTCATAACAGTAACCCATCAGCCAAATATTATGTTTCTAGATCTTTTAGTTAATCCTTGAGGCCATGTGAGCTAAAAATGAGGTCTGCAAGCAAGTCCAGAACAAATCATATAGATGTTCATGTAAATATTCAACTCAGCGTTCAGTTGATTCAAATTTTATAAGTATTTATAATTTCTAACATATTTAACTTGTATTTTCTACAGGTCTTTAGATGAGAAACAGAGCTACAATAGCCAAGCAGGAAGCGAGTTTGTATGTCGCATCAACAATTCTGGAAATAATTCCTCTAACACAAATATATATAAAAATCAGCACCCATTCCAGAAAGGCTCTAATCAAAACCAGAACATGTTCAGGCCAGGTCCCAGTGGTGCAGCAACAGTGCAAGGGGCAGATAACACTATGCAACACCTTCAACGCGACGGATATCATCGAGTTGGAGGATTTGGAGATACTGTAATCAAACCTTCATCAACAACACAGAAAAAAGTAAGTCTAATGACAAATTCTTGTGTGTACATAGTAGGTTACAAAATTATTGCAAGATGCTCATGGAGCCAACACATCTCTTCTTACTCTAGTGATGAAAAACATCTATCAAAATTTCAGAATGATTTTCATCTTTGAAAAAGCCGATGCTTTGTTTAATCAACAAGAACCTATTACTTCTAACTTTTAAGAGACAAATTGGAGTGATGTCTTGCATAAGTTGAGCTTTATGAACCAATGTCATGACCATCTAAATTACATCTTTTTTACCTCTACGATATACAAAATGTACATAGAGTTAGGTCTTATTAGCAAATCACGTATGAACAGCACAAAGATTTTAATCTGACATGTGTATAATGATGACACAGAATGAAAAATACATGGCAATGCATGTTTACTGACATGTATTTAGTATTAAGTCATTTTCAGGATCCTCAAAAGCCACCAAAGAAGACTGAAAACAAAGCAGATAAAACCCTTCACCTGATCACATCAACCATTCAGGGCATTAAACATTGGAGCAAATACAGAGATACAATTAATATGATTTTTGAAGTATATGGTATGTATTCAGGTAAAACTTGAGACTACTAGTTGCTTAATCACTAGTTGCTAAAAAGCAAGTGGGATCTTTCTTTTAGTAGCAGCTTTTTGCTTTGTCCAAGATCCAGTATAGGCAGGAGGGTGCCTTCGTCATACTCATTTGGAGCCAATTTGAAAACTTCAGATTGACTAAAAGGGATTAAAAGACCACTTCAATAGAAATTGTGCTTTGTTTTGGGGGCATAAAAGACTTAATGAAGAGAAGAGTAGTATATAAACTTGAGGGTACGTTTTGTTCTGGCTGGCGTGAATTTCCTCTCAGCTTGATAGTAGAGTATTTGATATAGGTTAATTAGAATTCCAGTACAGAAATGTATTTGTCCATATATTTATGATGACTCATACATATTTTGGTAAAAGTCAGGACTTTGCTGGATTATAAGGAAAACTAAATCAACTGAGGAATGATGTAAAGTGAACTATTTTGTGGTAGATTGAACATACAGTCTTACATCTTCGTTATGTACAATTGATTTATAATATCAATAGGCATGTGCTGTTCATAAAATTTGGTTTTATTTTTTAATTCTATTACAAAACATTTATTTTCAAATTCATGTAAATATTGGAAAGGTCATTAACTTTGTGTTAAATTCATAAATCATCTGTAGGTGTGGTGGACTCAGCTTTGATGCAAGATCCTTCAGGAACAGGAAAAGAATTTCTTATGAAAGATGAACAGGATTCCATGCAATGTGTTTTCTATGAAATTGTAAGAAGTTATTTTAACAAAATATATGCTGATGATCACCTTACCAGTTTATTGTTTCCTCTCCATGATGCTTCAAAGAAAGACATAGATTTAATCATAAGTTGGCATGTGGGATGTAGATATTCTTCTTCGAGAATGTAGAATTCATGTAACACTTATTAAATTAATGTACAACAAACAAAAGATGTATTTGTGTTGAAATGAAGGATGAAAATGATCACATATTTTCTTATTTATCGTTGTCAAGAGTACTTTAAACCTTTAGCCATACGTCCTCTTGTAGAGTCATAGTGTAATGGATTACTGGATGAATCCTTTCACTTATTAGTATTAAATGGATGAAATTTCTCAAAAAGCCTTTCTATTTAATACCTACAGATTAAAACAAACAATACTAAATAGCTGTGTTGTTGTAGTTTTTGTAACACACTATATACATATTTGAATATCATCATTTCCTTATTACAGGATCGTCAACTCCCTCGATTAACCCGAGGACATTGGCACAGGTACATGTAGCTGAACGACGACAGCTGAAAATTGCATGCTGTTCCTCAATACACAAACATATAACTGATGAAATGACTATGATATTATTCTGAAATTGAAAGTTCATGTTTGACTCCAAATTTAACCATTTATATAGAGAGTAAAAGAAGGAAACTTGACAGTTTATCTTGGTCACAAGAAATGTATTATTCAACCGTTTTGGACAGATATTTTAAGAAGCAATAAGTTAAACGTAGTTTAAAATACTGTACAAAGACAGTAAGAAATATTGCAATGGATGCCGTCATCATTCTAATATTGCAGTTTGTACTGAATAAAAGTACAGAATATTTAGTCTTTTAACATGTTTCAACTATCTGTTTAATGACTTTGTTTTAGGTGTGTGGGCACCATGGATGAAAGAAGTGGGAAATTTAAATGTGTATCAGTGCGACCTGCTTCCATGGAGGAAAAGGATATTTCAAAGCTTTCTGTCAAAAAGTCTGACAATTTTCTTTGGGACTTTACAAAAACCACACCAGAGCCATGAATAACAATAATGTGCTGTACTTGGTTAAACTTGTTAGTGTTTAATTTGTTTTATTGATTATCATTAAATTTATTTTGTCAAAGTGAAAACATGATTCCTTTTTTTTTCTTTTTCTCTTTCAAAAATGAATCCAAGCTGCAGAAGTGATTGAAAAAGTATACACGCACAAAACATTGAAACTGTACTTGTGTACTTAATAACTGTTTTTCTTTACAAAAAATCTTGTCAACAAAGCTGGTTCACTCAGTCTCTCTATCTGACCCTTGATAATGAGACCAAACATTGAAATATTTAGAAAAGAAAATGACCAACATTTTCCCTGTACATCATGATCAAAGTGGTGGTTTGCATACAAAGTTGCTTTAAATGAGAGTTTTAAAATGTGGAGTTACAGGCAATGAAGGATTAACATATACATTGTATATAAAAAAATAAAACACATGAACATATCTCACTGTCTCACAAAATTTGAATCACCTGTTAGAGGAGAAATCACCTGAAAGAGGAAGAGGTGTGTCCCTGGAGGTTTTTTTATGATGAGTTATTACTGGAACAGAATGTCTCTTGCAGGAGCAAAAACTATACAACACTTTTGCTTTGACCTCACATGGAGAACAAGACAGTCCAGCCATGGGTTTTACCTTTTGACTTCTTCAACATGAGGGAAAAACAAGACCCCATAAGGATCTTAGCAACAACAAAGTTTGAAAATTCCTCCTAAAATATAGTGTTAATAATCTTTAACTGCCAAATATAAAATAGTCACCTACTGTCCATTTTGACTTTTTCTCAGACAAGGAAGGACCAAGGGGAGCTTATTTAAAAAAATTGAAGAAATAACAAACTTTCTTTGTCATAATAAACATGGCCATCTGTCAGCCACTTTATTTTTCCTGATCAGTATCAAATTCAAAAGGGAACAATTAGGGACCAAGCAAAAACCTACTGATGAAATTTGAAAAAAAAAAAAGATCCATCCAGTTCTTCTCTAAATATAGCAATAACAATCTTTCATTGTCAAAATCCAAATGGCCACCTGTCTGTTTGATAACAGACCACAAATGTAGAGCGATTTGAATGGCCCACAATGTGATAATGATGAGCTGAAAAAAGAAGACTTTTTAAACATTAATAAAAGGAACACATACACAAAGTATAGTTTATACAACCATGTTTCTTTATTTTGACAACAAATGCAACAAAAATGGCATTAAAATCAACAAATGTAAAATTTGAAAATTAATTTTCATCACCAAAACCAAATTACTGACCATCATTACTATGTTAACACAGCTGTATTAAAGATAAAGCTTTTATCAGATACAGATTTGATTATTACATGAAACTTTTGTTAAACAGTATTTCAAATCATTGTTAATTAAATATCATTAGCATAAATACATCTCTAACATTATCTCAATCATACTTTCAGTCATAAACATGAATACCATCAATCATATATCTGTATGACAGAATCATACACAGTAATAGTTGAATAATCAGTTTTACTTTCTTTGGTATCATCAAAGTGTGCAGCAAGGAATATGGTCCTTGTTAATATGGATAAATATGTTTTGTTGGAAAAGTACAGCTATTTTTTCCAGCATTAACTTATTCATCAAGGTTCACATTCTTGATGGTAAGATTATAATATTGTGAAATTTGTGAATCATTCCATGTAGTCACTTTTATCGACACAGAATAAACACTTTAAGGATTCAATATGATCACATACAAAATTAAAATTACATACATTTTTTTGTATATCATAAACCAGTTAATCATTTAATAAGATGTACCATTCTCATACTTTTCTGTTCTCCATAAAAAATAATTTGAACATTTTTACATTACATGACCCCTTTGACTTTAGATCTTGGAAAATGTCTTTTTTTCCTCTAAGTTATAATCATTAGCATTTAATTTGTCTTCTGAAACATATTGCCTACACATTATGCTTTTACATGCCTTTCACATTGAAAGGGCCTAAGTCATATAATTTGTAGTATTTCAGTCCCACGTTGATCGTCAAACATCATAATTCTAGGCCTATTGCTTATTCAGATTACATAGTTTCATACAAATTTGGCATAGGTATCCTCATGAGTATGTCAAAATCATTCATGTTAACAAATTTGAAAGACTTTCATCACAGTGTACCGCTAGTAAATCATCAATAACCCAGACATTTCTTTATTTGTAACTCATTGAAATTATACGTAACCATTTAAATAACTGTAAGGCTTAACCTTCCAATATAATCCTGAACTTGATGTACATAGAAAGTACTCGTTAGTGTTAATGAATACTTGATTGGAATAATTGTTCCAAATGAGACAAAAACATTTCAGAATTTGGTCCATTCAGAAACAAACTGAAACCTCTGATACGATCACTTACACATTTACCACCAACCAGTACAGTTTTAACACAGTCACTTGCCAGAACTTCATATCCATGAAGTTTGGCAAAACCGTAGGTGCTACTGGCCACCAATGGTACCAGGAATCTTGAGGACAGCACTGACTTTAGGAATGGCTCTAGGTCTGTGACAAGGTACCTGTTAACAAGTGTCAGGACCTCTACACACTGGGACCATGTGTCCAGACCAGGTTCACAGGTAAGAATACTAGCAATGACATCACACTCTAAATCACATCCGTGAAGAAAGTGTACAACAAACTGCACAGCATAATAGGAGGTATCATTTAATGTGACTGTGTTCTGGGTAGACTCTGAATACTGTCCCTGTAACATGGCTGCAAACAGTGGTGATGCCTTGGCTAATCTCTCCTTACTGGCAGGAATGGTGGATCCTGTGTCATGTACAGAGAACTTTATATCGTGACTATGAGACTTATGCCGACACGTGCCCCGCTGAATATTTTCATTAGCTACATTGACACTGGTGACAAACAGTTTCTCACAATGCTCATTTTTCAATTTAATGTCAAAGTTGATGATTTTCCCAAGAAAGCAGAATGCCTCTAGGATAGTTCTGTGGTAAGGATGACTTGATCCAGCAGTAAGGATGTCCACATATTCCTTCCACAACCCTTTCTTGAAAAAGTAGAACTTCCACATACCCCTTGCCCTGGAACATATAAATGAAATACATTATGAAGAATGCTGTTAATACATAAAGGTATAACTTAGTTGAACTTATTCCCTAAAATCAGTTTGGTAGCAAAAATATCGCTACTTAAGACATTTCATAAAGAGATTGCGAACAATAAGAAAACTTTAACTGGGTGTTCACATCTCCACAGTAAATGTTCACAAGTAGAATTGGAAAATGAAATAAGAAAATGAAATGAAATTATGAAAAAAATGATATGACACCACTCTTTTGTTATGAATGATTCTGAGTTGCAGCAATTTTGATGTGTTTGCTTATAGAAGAAATAATCAAACAGATCAACCAGTAAACATCACTTACCACAATATATGAAGAAGACTGACCAGGATATGCATCTGTGACACTGTCTGCTTAGATAAAATGTGAGCTACAACACCTCTTCCATATGGACTGTCAGCCATTCGACATAAGTCTTGCAGTACAGTTATCCCTGCTCTGCTGGATAGTAGTATCTCCTCTTCTTCTTCTGTTACACTTCCTTCACTTGAAACATTCTGACAGGAAGAGTTAAATGAAGATTTGTTAGAGATAATGGTGTTGGGTGATTTAAGATTGCAATCAATTACGCTTGTGACAGAGTCTTGCACCTGACTATGTGTGTCTTCTTCAAAAAATGTTGAATCATCTGAACAGAAACTCAATGACTGTGATCTCTGACCTTTGTTTGTTCTATTTCCTAGACCAGAGTGTTCCGCTTGAAGAATTTTTATCCAGCACTGGTCATTAACTTCTTGAGAAAGGAGTTTGTCATACACAATCCATGGTAGATTTAACTGGATCAATTTCTCAAAGCAGTTAGGGTTTCGGGCTAGTCGACAAAGAAGTCTAGCAGCTCGTGTTTCACCAATCCGTACACAGCTAATGTAGTCTAACAGACAGCAAAGAACCTCTGTAGAAACTAAATACTTTGTTGGGTCTGGCATTTGCGACACAAATGAAAGGATCATCAGGATGTGATTTTCAGTGGCAGTTGGAGACTTTCTACATGTTATTGATAACCTGGGTTTCTTTGGTACATTATGTTTAAGTAATGTTTCAGGAGAAGTTGGAGGTAACTTATTTTTCTTATGTGGTCCAATGATGATGGTCTCTTCTCCCAAATCGAAGTGAATCTTGTGCGACAAGTGACCACTGACCTGCTGGTTTTCACTATTCATGTCTACATCAAATCCCTGAGAGCAATATAACGGGTCTTCTTTTTGTTCATCAGTTTTATCAGAAGATTCAATCTTTTCAACATTGCAGTCACTAATGTTTTCATGTTTCTGTGGAATGTTTTCCATACCCGAGGCTTCTGTTGTTTGTTCTGCATTTTCACACCGAAACGGCAATGTATCAATTGATGTGGCCTCTTGGCTATCTTCTTCATCTGAATAAACCATAGGAGCATTGGAATTGTGTTCAAACTCGTGTTCAGAAGCACCAGGGGACATCCCTGATGTATTACTGGGACTTGAATGTTTCTCTGGACTGCTACAAGAAAAGGGCAAACTAAAGACCAATCCGTAGTTGGGGTCTTCATTGACCTTGGACATTACAGGACTAGTAGGGCTGTAGTCTCCTGGGGACAGGCTTGGAGAGTAATAGGAGATGGTACTTAAGGGACTAATGCTGGGGTACTGTGGGGAAGATGCTCCATGGTTGAATGATTTACATTTGGCTCCCTGACTATAGACATCAAGGTTCCACTCTGATGACACTTGGTAAGTTGGACTATCAATACTGTAATGGTATTTCTTATCTGTCTGTATTGTAAGCTCCTCAGTAGAATCTTTATCTACGTTCAACGGTTCCTGTTCAGTTCTGGTCAGAACAGATTCTGTCTGTCCCTCACATTCTGCTATAATTTTATGTTGTGTCTGACATTCATTTGAGGAATCACCTAGTCCAGTCTGTTGATCGTCAGCTGAGTTGTCCTGTTCAGCTGAAACATGTTCAGATATTGTATCCAGATTGGCCACTTCCTCGTCAAGCCTCACCACAGTTGAAGTGAACTCTGCTACTCGTTGCAAATGTGATAGTAAAAGTGGTATAAGACCATCTTGAAGTAAAAGTTCTAAACTGGATTCATCATACAAAAAACACAGCAGAGCACTGATGATACGATCATGTAAACGTTTGTATTCTGTGTCTTTAAGACACTCCAGGAACTTTGGCAGTATACTGTTATCTCGAATCTTCACACGGTTCACTACATCCTTACAGCAAAGACACAAAACATTAAGGACAGAAAACCTTTTGTCTTTATCAAAGTTACCAATACCTTGAAAGAAGCCTATAAATTTTGTAATGCCACCAGCATTGCCCAGCTCAGCCCGAGCATGAGAATGATCAGCTAATCGTATGAGAGTTGTAAAGGACTGGTGAGCGGCAGTACTGTCTTCAACTGTTACCCTTGACAATAACTCAGCAATACCCCCAGCACTGACAACTTGACTGGCAAACCCACTGCTGCACCTGTAACGAAGCAAATTTCATTTTTTTTAATGATAAAAGAAATTAATTGAAAAAGCAAAGTGATTAACTCAACATAAGGAAACAAGTTACTTGAGTATGGAGATAAACTCAAGGATACATGTTGAATTTTTGTGGATAGTCTAGAAATTATTCGTACTGAATGATTTAACGGTTTTTCTTTTAAATGCAAAACTGTTGACAGCTCATTGATAGGCATATTACAAATCAATTCAATATCAGAAGAAAATATTAAGAAGCCAAAAAGGCCTGTATTGCTCACCTGGCTTTGCTTGCCTGAAATTGCTTCATTAATACTAAAGGGAAAGGAGTTCTAAATATCCAAGCACACACACAATACAGATCTGTTTTCCCAATCGGCCCCAACCTTCTGTCTCTACAAAATCTGTCTAACCATTCATGCTTCACAACAAGCTGAGACAGAATTCTGCCATTTCTACAGAAAAGGAAGAATTCTAAAGATTTGATCTATTTCCCCTGTAATGGATCCTGTCCACCTATTTCAAAGGATCCATACCCATGATTTATTCACAAAATTGATTCCTCTTGACACTTCAGATCAAATTTGGAGAAAATCTTATCATTCCTTCTGGAGGAGTAGAATTTACTATTCTATTTCCCCTTTTAGGCTCCTTCTCTTTCAGCATAGGGAGCGGATACCAACAGTTTATATAAGATTTATTCCTCTACATCCAAGAATGCTTCAGACCAAATTTGGGCTATCTCCATTCATTCCTACAAGAGAAGCAGGATTTCAAAGAATTTACTCTATTTTCCCTATTGGGTCCTTCCTTTCTCATCCCCGGGGGCTGAGACCTAAAGTTTATACAAATTGGTTCCTATTCACACAAGATTAGACCGAATTTGGCCAAAATCTGATCATTCCTACAGGAGGAGTAGGATTTTAAAGAAGTTGCAAATCTTCCCTTTTTGGCCCTGCCCCCACCTTCCAAAACCCATCAATTATTGAATAAATATTGTTTCCCTTCCCCAAAGGATGCTTCTGACCAAATCTGGTTAAAATCTACGAAGTGGTTCATGACTTAATTACAAATTGTAGAAAAGGTTGACCAATGGATGGGATGCCAGGTGAGCTAATAAGCATAGGTCATGTATGTAAAACACACTGATCATTTCAAAATAATAAGTACCCACAGAGGACAAAAACAAATACTGGTTCCTACCCTTGGCTGGATGTCTCAAACACCATCCTCAATGCTGCACTCTGAACATCTTTGTCATCATCCAACAGCAGTTTCACCACACATCGCACAGCATCACCAGCAACCAGTTTGTCTTGGTGTTTCTGTGTCTTGCCAAGTAATCTGATGATAACAGGAGATTCTACCAATTTCCCATTTAGTAAATGATTTCCAGATTATTTTCACAATTGATACTGAAGTGCTTACTTTTAGAATTCAGAAGATAGTGATAATCAAGTGATAGTCAAAGCACTGTAGACTGGAAAGTACAAAAATGTAATACATTATCTCAAGTATGGTACAAGTGAAACTTTTCCTCTTAACATAATATAGTATATAGGTAAATAGCTGATATCATAAGTGTAACTACCTGTACATGTATAGTACAGGTGAGATGTATTTGACGTCATCAGAGTAACTACCTGTATCAATCTGATTTAAAAGCATACCTTACTTACACTTCTGTTCTGACAAACAGTACAGGTGAAAGATATCTGACATCATTAGTCTCATCAGACAGAACATATTGTTTTGTTTTTTTGTTATGAGGAAATTTAGACACATCACTTAACTTACCTAATAATTCTACAGTAAATGAGTTTGCTCTCCTTGGTAGGTTCCAGTTGTAGGAGCTCCACCACATGATCCACAGTGTCAGTGCCATGTACAGCTTCAGCATTCACAGGCAACAATGCTGCGTTTGACAAGGCCCTACAACTACGGTCCTGAATGCTGACAGATTCTGAGGTGCAAAACAAGTCCGCTGCAAGTATAAGAAGATGTCATCAATAATCATGATTTCTTGCTTTGTAGGTAGCGGCTAGTTTCATGATTTATTGTGGACTTTCTGACAGAAACTCAAGCTCTTGTAAGTTTGTGTGTGATGAATGTTTTCATTCTACCATGGAACTTAGTTGAGGGCAGAACCTCAAATGAGAGAAATACAGTTTGTTTGGCCTGTCACAACAGATGCAAAAAATCATAATAACAATGAACAAAAAACAGTTTCATTACGCAACAAAGACTCTCCGAGTATAAACATCTAAACTGTATGTATTTTGGATATTGACAGCAAAGACACTGTCAGTTATAACAATTCACATATATTATAAGAAAATCTATATTATTAATTTTCAAATTCTGTCATTGAAATATTTATCAGTTAATCATCAGTCTTATCATAAGTACACTGGCATTACCAAATACTAAAAGCAGGCTTAAATGTTATTTGAGTTTACTAGTATCTGTTCACATTACATTTCAGGAACTTATCAAGATCTCATTGGCAACAGAATTCCAGACAGTTGAGAAGTTGAATTTCACTCACCTAAGGTTGCTATACCCCCACTCTGATGTACCTGAAATGATAAAAACCGTTGAAGTGACCATATCTTGTGTATCAGTATACTGTATGTTTAAATGTTATGCTTACATTTAAAATGTAATATGCATATATCAATATAAGTAAGTATTAACCCTCCAAAATAATTCCTTTTCACTTCAGTCTGATAAAACAGGCCGGCTAAGAAATTCATCTCATGAAATGTCCAATCTCTGGTGTTTGGATCAGGGAACAATTATTCCCATATATACATACCATTAAACACTCTGCTTTGGATTCTCTGGCTCAAGTGGTCATAACCTGTCTTTTGACCATTCACTATTATATATGTACATGTTGTATCTTTGTGGGATCACGTAGGATGTAAACATCCTCTGATCATTAATATAATTAGAGCACAAATATATTGTAACCCTGGTAAAAAAAACTAGCTGCAATATACTGCTCGGCTAGAGAGAACTTCTCTTTAGCTCTATCGGTTGAACGCCAAACTAGTAAGCGACAGGTCCTGGGTTTAAATTCTAGCAGAGGCACTGAAATAGCTAATGACTTCTGTTACATTGGCGCCCACATAGGGACTTGCGAATAATATTTTGTGTTACTTTCACAAGTACCTCTGTAACCCCTGGAAACTCTGGGACGAGTTATTCTAATTCCTGAAGGGGGATTATAAAACCCTGGTAAAATACGTACTAGCCACAATATACCATTTGGCTAGAGAGAACTCTTTACCTCTAGTTTAGCGTCAGAATAGTAAGTCAGGGGTCCTCGGTTCAAATCCTAGCGGGGGCAATAAAATAAATAATGACCTCTGTTACAGTATATAAATAAAAGCTGATTCCCCCTATAAAACACACAATTTAATCATTGTTCACAAAGATTTTCTCTGGACCTGGCTTGATTTTTATGGCTGTCCATGAAATTGCACAGCGTTATGCAATCACAAGTATCGTACAATGTAACCATGGAATGCACACTGGTCACATTATAGTGAATCGTTTTGTTTTTTCTGTATCTCTAAGCTATAGTTAATTTACATCAATGAGTCACTAGCAAACACTACATGTAAATATGTTGAGAACATCTCATATGCCCATTTTAGTTAGTTAATCAGCTTCAGTAAATGGTCTGATAACAGTGGAAAGTTTCGACCAACAGTAGCATTGACTAGTGTTTATATCAGTCCCAAACTTACATCTTTCCTGGCATTTTCTTCCATACATAGATTGCCAAGGACACTGAGAACGATATCAGTTGTATGTGGAAGCTGGTTTTGCCGTATTTCATCGGATAACAAGTAAAGAGCTTTGTGAACAAACCCATGTCGAATTAGCTCACGAACACCGGTAGAAGACTTGACAACTTTGGTTCGAATTTCTACCAAGATGTTATAGATTTGTTTGGGAGTGCCATTTGTTATCTTCAGCAAAGCTCTCTCGACATACTTCGATGTCATTTTACGACTGTTTTCATATTTTCTTAGTAGAATTTAGGCCTACTGTAATTAGGAGTATGAGCTGCGAGGCAACTGCCACAAGATTATTTACGACAAGGGGGATCACTCTAAATCCATGCATTTAGGCGTTTGTCAACGTAGATGTAGAGTTATCGTTCCTTATATCACAGCAAAATCAAACTCCCAGTTCGAATTCGGTACAATGTAGTTTCGTCAATGAAGCAGAGGATGCTTACTCTTCCTGAATACCTGGTCTTATTCTCTTTATGTTTTTAAGAGTTTCTTGTAAAATATTTCGTTTGTTCATACATTGCCTTGGTTTTATTGAATCTGGGTTTTGATTATGATTATGTTGACATGTCGGTATTTTCTAGTGTTTTTTTTTCGGACCACGTTATAATCGTTTTTCAGTAGCGATGCTACATCGATCAGTTGCAACCAAACAGATACAGAAATGTACTGAATGTATTCATGCTATTGCATTTGTGAAATAGAGTGATCAGTGAAACACCACTGTCTCAGTTTTGAAAGATATCCACAAATACGACCTCAACTTGAATTCGCTAGCCTGAAATGACATACATTTGTATGTGTATCCAAAACCTGTCGGCTTGTTTCAGGTGATATCACTGAGTCAAAGAGACGCTTCAATTAGCCTGACAATGAGTGACGGGCTGATCATAACAAAGCCGCTGTGTCCGATTTGTTTACTTTTACTAATGGAGAGAGAAAGAGATTAACACGTATCGTGCATTAATTACACACGCCAGTACAGTTGACGCCACATAATTCTGTCGCCACAATATCAGGCGTAAATGCCAGAAATATTCAGAGACAGTCTTACTGGCAAAAATAATTCAACCGTTCACTCTGAGAGATAGAAATCAAATGTATCGAAGTGTTAAGGACAATAAAAAAGACAGAAACTTTCAACCACTCTAACAACTTCGTCAAAGTCCGTCAAGTGTCACATGCCCAGTTCGAATGTGACCACAACTCACGTACAACACACATACATGCGCACAAAGCGCAAACAAAGTAACGTACTCTCGCTATACTTTGTATATGTACCGGTATACATGGACAGGCAACAATTAACGCGAGATTTACAAATAATATACAAGTAATTATAAAACAACCAATTTAGTATAATGTACTGAGCGACAAAAAATATTTTATATCCAACAGAATTTGACAGCCAGTCTAATAACTCAATAATTTTGACCCTGTTACAAAAACACAGATGAAATGAAACAATTTAAAGAAAATGACGGATGTCACTGTGTCTGCGTGCATCTTTTCTAAAGGGTAAGCTTAAAGTTTTTATCATTTTATCTATTTTCTCAAATGAGCCACATTTGTTAACTTTTTCATGACACAAAAATTTCAAATAATGTCATTTTCTATGTTACTGTCTACAACTCACTGGTTAATACAAATCGGAAAGCAGTCATCAGAAGTGATCATTTGAAAATCATCAGTTTCCAATATGAAATATCAAGACGTTACTTGAAATCATGATAAATTCATGTATGATTTTATTTCTTTGTAAATTGTGGCTGGTCTGCTGAAAGGTCGAAAAAGCTGGTCATCAGATCAGTTAAGTTAATAAATGATTTTTCTGCTTTTATCATATTTAATTTATTATCTTTGTTGGTGAAATACCTTGTACTTACACAACATTTGAATCAATTAAATTTGAGGACTTGCATGTGCTGTTGACAATTAAAGTTGAAACATTTTAATCAGCTTATGTATGATTAACAGTCTTTACCAACAGTTTTGGCATGGTATTTATCTATGGCTTGAAAAAGTCAACACACCAGTTACAATCATGATCTCATTTTTGTTAAAAGATATAAAATTATTATCAATCATGATAATGACAGATATAATATGTCAGGAAGGCTTAATGACTCCACACGTACGGCGGGAAAGAAGAAAACAACAAAATAAAGAGAATTTGGAAGTTATTAAAGAATTTCGTTCCTTGTGTGATGGATCGTACAGGTAGTTATTTAGTCCAGATGCTATTTTGTGTTGTTGTTGTTGTTTTTGTTCGAGTTGTTTTTAGTCCAAGTATCAAGCACTTGTTATACCATTTTTTTCCCTTCTTTGAAGAAAATGAGTGCCAATTAAAATAAATTTAATTTCTTCAAGTGAAACGTCCATACTTTTCATGTGGTTTCTGATATATTTCTTTGATATTTCAAACTATTAGTGCGGTATTTTAAGCATTAGCTGAAATTTGGAAATGCTATTGTCAGTATTTTTGAATGCTGGAAATCTGAAATGGCTGCCAATTTTAAGGTTATCTCTGGAGAACGTTTATTACTCGGCGCTACTGAATAGTAAATGCCGATTTATATGCACAGTAAACTTACATATTTAAGCCATTGAACAACATTTTTATAAAGATATCTTATCAATACATTATTTTTTCATTTTGTTATGACCTTTAGGAAAAAGGGAGGCACATATTGTGGTACTGGTTCATTTCTTTGTTGTCATGCTTTCTTGTCTGGGCTATATAACTTTTGAACTATTTCAGAATTCTTAATTCCAGTTTGAAACATAACAGCATCTCACATAGACGGCGTGAAGTGCATTGAAATTAAGTCGCTGTGATCTTCACCTGAAGGTGAAAGGTCAAATAATGTAATATTTCCTCGCTTGACTATAATTTTAATAAACCATCAGATATATCTTGTTGAAACTGATATTGGGTCACCCTGCCGGACGTTTAACTAGTCAAGGTCATGTTTCCTGCCTGTAACTTCTGATCCAGTTTACAAAAACAATTTATATTCATAAAGAAATAGAAGACATCCTTCAATTCTTTCCAATATTTTGTTTCACTCTCCGTTTTTAAAAATATTAGTTTTGTTTTTGTGTTAAACCGAGTTTTTCGGTTCTATTTCATTGTGAAATGACGCACTTACTCATTTTTTGTTTTTGTTGTAATTCAATTAGAAGATTCCGTGGAAAGGGTGCTCCAATATCATTGAAGCCACTGTACAAGTGAAAAAAGTTTGTCTCAAATAATTTTAATGCTAATACTATAGTTTAATCTGCTTTTAAGGTAGGTCAGCTTTTCTGTAATAAAAAAATTGTTGGTTAAAAGTCATTGATATATTGCCTATCCATGCCGCTGTTGCAGTGAACCGTGTCTGTATAAAGATAAACTGTAACACTCAATATAGTAAACTAATTCGAATTCTAATTTACCTATAGTCATGTAGATGTGGTTAAGTACCTTGTGTTGACGGGCCGTTAAGAATCTCATAATAAATAATAACAGTAATTTTCTTCTTCGTTTGTTTGTCCAGGTCCAGGGATCTTGACCTAGATGATCGTGAGGTGAGCGAAACGCAATGAATCCTGGGAGAGATCATATATCTAGGGCACCCGCTCAGGTGTGATATCACACCTTAGATGAATTCCTACTCCTGACGAGCAGGAAGGCGCGCGTACAGCCGCCACACTCATTTAGAAAACAAACAAAAAGTAAGTATGACGTGTTTGTGACTTCAGTTCCAAGTTTGTACGGAGCAGTGGGCGTGGCTGGCCAGGTGTATGTTCCTGCCTTTATTTTGTTTGATAATACGAGTTACCTTTCTTTGATCGCGAAGATGAATTTCGATGAATTTTGCCAATTTTTAGATAAGATAAAATATATGCTAATTATTTTATCAGTTCGAACTTATCTCATGCGAACTGAAAATAAAACTATGATAGGTAGTAATTCGAGTCAAAAGACATGTAGATATGTCATCTCTCCTTTAACATTTGCCTTCATCGCCTTCACTACAAGGGAGTTAAAGGACCACGGATAAACTACAACGCTTTGAATAAATCAAAAGTTTTTAATCCATCAATGTGTACCCCTGTCAGAGTCCGGGTGTCGGTTCTATGACTTGTCTTACTCAGCCGATTGGAAAACAAGATTGAACTCATATGTTCCCCCCTTTGATCAAATTCACGTCCTTTTTTATGAAATGTAGATAGAAGTGAAAATTATAAGTATAAAACGGTCAGTAGATAAAACCGTAATGCTTTCCTAATTGACTACGCCAATATACATTTTCTTTCAAGCAGGACATCCCTTGTGGCCAACATGGCGTCTGTACTAATGGTTGTGGCGACCATTGGTTTGGGATACCTTTTATGGAGACTGGCCAAGTTTGTAGTGACGTACCGGAAGTGGAACCACATTCATAAGTCGACTACTTCTCTCGGAACTCGACATCCTATCTACGGAACAATGCACCATGTAGGTCAGATGGCTAGTTAAGCCGAAATAACCAGCATTTTGTAAACGCCCTATACATAATCTTTATTTTAAACCATAAGAGTTTAGGGTCATCAAGGTACGTTTTCAGCATTGGTGAACCTACAGGTAATCCTCCTATTCTCAATGCAATCTCGATTTATTAGCCGTTGGCAAAGGAATCTACGATGACAAAGTAACATAGATATATTTAATCATAATTTTGCAATTTGAATCAAAGGCAGAGGAAAGTTGTTTTCGTTTAATTTTCAAAATAAGATTTCACGTATTTCACATCTCAGATTTTCAATGATATTGTTGCTTGCTCTGTTTTCAGACTGACTTAAGTATTTGACATGACGCGTCTAAAAGCATAAGAGTTTTAGTGATAATCTTTGTCTGGTTTGATACAATTTCTGTGTTAATGGCGAATGATCTGGGTAGGAAGTCATACATATATAACTTGATAACATTGATAAAATAGGATTACAATGGTATTGATAACAACACAAATTGTCCAAGAAATACACAAAAATATATTCTATGTCATGTGAATGGTTTCAGTACTCTGATGCAGAAAGCTTCCTAAAACACTCGATGTCTGTATTACAAAAGACCCGCGCCAAGATGTTGTCTGGATGGCTATTCTTCCTCTTCCCGACGTTTTTGGTTTGTCATCCCGACACCGCCAAACTGCTGCTACGCTCGTCTGAACCTAAGGCGAAACGTTTCAGTATGGTGTACCGGTCCTTCTTACCTTGGCTAGGCATGTATTTCATTACACTGGCAAAATTTGTCTTTATTTGAAATCTGTCAGTGGTGTTGTCTTATCCTATGTAACTTCTGAATGGAGATGTATGAATTGATTCACCTTTAGAATGTATTTACATCAGAATTCAAATCATTGTATTTTTGATAACATTTTCTTTAAGGTGTAAATAACTTTGAATTCAGTTATCACTTTGCTTATACCTATGATATTCTTACTTGCTTTATCAGGTGACGGTTTACTGATAAGTGATGGACAAAAGTGGGAACGGAACCGGAAACTACTGACTCCCGCCTTTCATTTTGATATCCTCCAGCCATATGTGAACATCTACAACAAAGTCGCAGATATATTGCTGGTAAGTTACTTAATGTTGATTGCCGTGCAAGTTTAAAGTCCTTGATTTAAACCAATAAACTCGTCATAAAGTTATAGGAGCAGGTAACCAGAATTTCCTTAATTGATTTCCTGGAGCTAATACATAACGGTATCATAAGTTGGTAGATACATATAGTAATAGAATTGAGAAACTGTAATTTGACTATTTAATCTATACATTCATATGCAGAATGATATGTTACAATTTGTACCAAATCTTTTTCTTTATAATGCATTATCATTACAGTGACACAATACATAAGAAAACTACCGGGATTGAAATTTATAGCCAAAGAAAGGATGCAAACCTAAGTTTTCATTGTTCTCTTAGTATACGTCACTTAGGTTCTGATCTCGGGATACGCATGCGCTGACCATTGAGCGTTACGAAAGCAAACTCAAGGGCATTTTTTTCTAATTAACAAGCTTTTAGTACTTCATATTATAATTTTTGAATAGTCAATGAGAAAGAAATTTTGATTATTTTGTTTTCTGAAATTTCCCGATAACTGAACCACCGGATTCAAGTAAATTAAGATATTTATCTTGAAGTCGTCTGAAGAGGTCTAGAAGATTTGAAAGGACGTTATTTCAATAAAATGATACGTCGTCATTTGATAAGGTTTATTCTTTGTAAACAGGACAAACTGTTGTCTGAGAGTAAGAGTGGTCAGTCTGTAGAAGTGGCCGGACCAGTGGGGTTAGCTACTTTGGACACTATGCTGCGGTGTGCCTTCTCATACGAGGGAGACGTCCAGCTGAAAGGGTAAGATGACATAGTAACAATACTGTATTACATTACTTATATCTCGTATCGGCTTTACCGTAACCACAAGAAATTCTAGAAAAATGTTCAACATTTTACATACAGTTTAGTTATTATTGTTGAATAATATACATGTACATTACTTAATGATATATATTGTCTTTATTTCAAGCGGAGTTACGGTTCTTTGCGGTCAATCTGATCCACCTCACTATTAAGACCACCTCGCTATTAAGACCACTTTTGTCCAGTCCCAAAAGTGGTCTTAATAGCGAGGTTTCACTGTATACATTTTCTTTTCTACTTTAATGAAAGATCGTGGATTAAAGTTATATGTCTCAGTAAAGTGATGGTTGCACCCTTCTATTATCAGTGGGTGGTTAGAGTTAGAGGTCAAGGTCAAATAAGGTTGATTAAATAGTTTCTATCGCTGATAAAGGTCATGGTCATAGTCTCATTTCCGTTATGAAAAGTCATGGTTCAAGCCTCTCTCATCTGTGTATGTATGTTAAACAGCATCAGAAATGCGAAATGCTAAATTTGTTACACTGGTATCTCATGTGTTGTAGGGAGAGCCACCCATATGTCCGTGCAGTCAAGGATTTATCACGCATCTGTATTAAGAGGACAATGTAAGAACTTCCATTTGTCATTTAAGTAATGAGACGATGGCCCCGGAAATGACTCGAAATATTTCAGATCCTGATTTAAGGAATCTATTAGCTTCACCATTGTGATGATAGATAAATAAACGAATATGTTTGTGAATGAATATATGGATAGATAAATGAATGAATGAATAAAGAAATAAATAATAATTATCTGGAAAGTAGTATGGCTTTGAGTTTCTAGAACCGCGACAATTAAATTGAAACAATGTGTTAATAAAGTTAGTTGAAATATTGCTGCTCCCAATGTCGGATACAGGGGAAACAAATAGGTAAAAGTAACTGGTAGATCTTTTTCCAGCCGACCTTGGCTGTATCCGGACCTGATATTTTACTTAACTAAAGAAGGGCGAGAGTTTTGGTCTCTTACACAATACGTCCACATCTTCTCGTCCGACATCATCAAGGCTAGGCGCAGATCTATTGTAAGTAACTATGAGTTTACAGATTGTCATGTTTTATTCGATAATCTTGTAAAAACTTAGGAACATGACAAGACTTACTCGAGTGACCGGCATTAAAATCAAATCAAAATCAGAAGACGCTTACCCTTCCAGAACACCTTGTCTAATTGGCCTTGTACTTTTCACATGGCTCTGTATAAATCATCATTTTGTTCTTAATTTGTTCTGTTTTCATCAAATTGTAATTTGAATGAAAATTCTGTTGATGTGTCGGTATTTTCTGTAACGTGTGTGTACCCGAGTTGAGTGTAAAACTATTTATGATAAAAGAAAAACAAACGGAAAGACGTCTATATGGTCGTCAAACAAAACATTGTTTGCTTAAAATTTGATTTAAACTTCACAGAGGGAAAGTCCCTCCACCACTTTCAGAATATAACTTAACCATAAAATTTACTTGCATACTACTTCGTCATTCCACAGAATGCTGATCCCTCTCAACTGGACAAACGTCGACTTGATTTCTTGGATATACTGTTGGTAGCAAGAGATGAAACCGGAAATGGAATGTCAGATGAGGATATCCGTGCGGAAGTAGACACTTTCTTATTTGAAGGTGAGTTATTCACTCTTTGTATCCTGTAGTTTTTTTTTTTTAATAAAAAAGTAGAAGTCAAAATTTAGATAAACAAAAACCCTGTATCCATGAAATGCCTTCTGAACATACAAAGTCGAACAATAACGTATTACGAAAAAGAACCTAGGTTGTACAATTGTTTAGTTATTACCTACAAACTTATCGGTAGTATATACTTTTCTGTTTATAGTTACATTTGGTAACTTTACAACTTTTTAATATACTGAATGTTCCTCTCAATAGTACAGATGGCATCGTGCCACGTTTGGAGTAATGAAATGGTGTGCTGATTAGCAATCGGTATTGATGTCTTTATTACCTGTAAGGCTAGCTGTTTCTTGGTCATGCTAACGAGATCGATGCTCCGCTCACCCGACCCAGTTTCTATCTCCACATTTTAGGTCACGATACCACAGCCTCTGCCATCAGCTGGGCAATCTACGCTCTTGCCAAGTACCAGCGGGAGCAGGAACGCCTGGCGGCGGAAGTGACGGAAGTTATCGGGACACGGACATGCGTAGAATGGTAATAAAAAGGAGTTGTTATTACAGTGTACATTTCATTGCATGTATTTCTGACTAGAATTGGAGATGAGTGACTGAGGTCTTGGAATGTTGAAACAAAAGCGAGTGACATTAAATGAATCCAGAACAAAGAAATACAACTTTAGTACAATATGATGATAGTGATGAAGTCAGGTGTTCACAACAAGTAATACATGTACAGATATTTGAGTGCAAATTTCGAGTTAGATACAGCACTGTCATGACGAATTAAGCTGCATCATACAGTTGTTTCTTTCTAGGACTCGTCAGTGATGCTAGGGCCCCACAGAAACCTAGGAAGTGACTGAGAAGAATTCAAAGTGGTCGAAGGAAATGTTCAGATCTCGGGGATGGGGGAGGGGGTGACTAGTCCATGAGATTTGATAAAATCGTATAGATGATATTCAGTAAAATGAATGTATATACATGTAAGGATAACAACATGCAATAAAGTCTAATCCAAAAGATGTGATATATTCCTTCAAATCATAACCCCTGGTCCCACAGTCTTGGTTCTACTACCATTTGGTCGCGGATGTAGATCTACTTGATTTTGACTTTTATCTTGAATTTCTGTAACACTCATTGAAATAAAAGAACGGTTGAAAGCACTGCCTGATATCGTTGAATTTACTCTCTCTTTCGCAGGGAAGATTTATCGAAGCTTCGCTATCAGAGCTTATTTATCAAGGAGGTTATGCGCATGTACAGTCCTGTGCCGTTCGTGGCGCGATGTCTGACGCGCCCTCTGGTGTACGAGTCAACAGTGATTCCTCCGGGCTTCGGCGTGGATATCAACCTTGTGGGCATCCATCACCACCCGGATGTGTACCCCGATCACGAAGTAAGCTTCTCGCCCATCCAAGCATGTATTCTGCCAAGCTTTCTTTATCACTTTAAGTCTACTTTGCCCTGTATGTACACTTTCTGGTGTTAAAGCCCATTAATGGAAATATAGCTTCAGTGGTTATCACTCAATAAGAAATTTATAATTAATTTAGTGAGACTGCATTATTATGGTCACGCTGTGATGTATTCATCTGCTTATTGTACACGTCATTATTGTGTAGAGTTTTCTGTTTTATTTGAGACCAATTTCGTGACTTCCGTGATACTGAAAATACATATATTCTCCACAGTTTTCACAGAACAGCTAAAATTCGAACCGTTATGCATGCAGTGTGGTTTTAGTTGTTTTTTGTTTTAGATTTTTGTCTAGGCCTTAAGCCTTTTCCGTGCATAAAACTGTAAAACATCATCATTAACCTGTTGTGGGACTTCCGGTTATATTGTATGTAAATTAATTTAACTGAGTATTATATTACCTTGCTACCTTGGAACAAAAATCAATCGTCCTCCATTCCGTATCGCTTGCTCCCCAAGCCTTTAATCGATGATGCATTGTCGAGAATCAACTTGAGTCACGTTCCATTAGATATCTTTAGGCTTTCTCGAACTATTCTTTTATTTACCATTGCAACTTTGCGACATTTATATTATGTCCTCCCAGCCTTAAGACAATGACCCAATGTCGAGGATCAAACTTCAGACGTACTCAATTAGCTATCTTGAGGTTTACTTCAGTTTGTCAATTGGATATTTCTATTCTGTCCTCCAAGCATTAAGGCGACAAGAAAACAGCGAGCGTCAGCTTCAGTAACGCTATATAGCTTTGTGAAGGTAGTGGATGTGGAAACATGAAAAACATGTTTGAAGGTTTCATACATTGTGTCAACATTGTTTCTAGTTAAAGTAAATATTCTCGTTAGTTCAACATTGTTTATATTTACAGAAAATATCCTCTTTAGTTCCACATTGTTTATAGTTACAGAAAATATTCTCTTTAGTTCAACATTCTTTATAGTTTAAAAACACGTCCTTCTGAGTTTAGTATTGCTTATAGTTAAAGAAAACGTCCTTCTGAGTTCAGCATTGCTTATAGTTAAAGAAAACGTCCTTGTAAGTTCAACATTGTTTACATACTCAAAAAAATAAGAAACGCACAAAGTCCCTCCATGCAGTACGCCTTAGCGGGAATGAAATAATATAATATTTGGTTAGGTACTAAATCTTGAATTATCTCCCTTCTCGACATTCTACCCTAAAATCGGCCAATCATTACGATGTCATTGTCTAGCTTTGTGAGCTTCTTCATATCAAGCCAAACCGGATTTTTCAAACGAATAATTTCAACGGATACTCTAAGCTCAGCCACATCAATTTTCCCTGTTGGTATTTTGATATCGCCATTGACCGAGATGCCACGCTTAACGCAAATTCAGAGGGGAAGAGCAATTGCGATGTCGCGCGGCAGTTTGGCGTTGAACCTTGTACAGTTAACCGTCTCTATACACGTTTCAATGCTATTGGGTTAGTTTCCGATCGTCCGCGTGTTACGACCGCACGACAAGACAGGGTGATTCGATTATCGTATTTGCACAGCAGATTCAAGACTGCGGCAGAGCCTGCGTCGCATACCTCTGGTACTCCTGGCGGACCCATTAGCGCTCAAACTGCAAGACATGGCCTGAGTAGGTTTGGAATGTATCGCTGGAGGCGTGTGATGTTCACCGAGTCTTGATTCTGTCTGTTTCGCTCAGACAGAAAAAGGTATATCGCAGACGCGTTGAGCATTTCGCCGGCGCAAGCGTGGTTGAACGCGGTAGATTCGGTAGGGCTTCTGATATGATTTAGGGAGGCATCTCCCATTGAGTGAAATTCAGCCTCTGGAATGTTTGTGTAACTACTGACGACACGATTGACGTCACACAGACTTTCCCTCTACAGTATTGTAAAGCGTACACTTGTTCCTTCACATTGATATAAAATTTTGTACAGATATTCCAAATTATCATAGGCTAATGATTGCATGATTCAATTGTTCGTTTCTTTTTTGTTGAGTACAGTTTTAGAGAACGTGTTTGTTAGTTCAACATTGTTTTTAGTTAAAGAAAACGTGTTTGTTAGTTCAACATTGTTTATAGTTAAAGAAAACGTGTTTGTTAGTTCTACATTGTTTATAGTTAAAGAAAACGTGTTTGTTAGTTCAACATTGTTTATAGTTAAGGAAAGCGTCATTCTTAGTTCAACATTGTTTATAGTTAAGGAAAGCGTCATTCTTAGTTCAACATTGTTTATAGTTAAGGAAAGCGTCATTCTTAGTTCAACATTGTAGTTAAGGAAAGCGTGTTTGTAAGATCAACATTGTTTATAGTTAAAGAAGCATGTTTGTTAGTTCAACATTGTTTATAGTTAAAGAAAACGTGTTTGTTAGTTCAACATTGTTTATAGTTAAAGAAAACGTGTTTGTTAGTTCAACATTGTTTATAGTTAAGGAAAACGTGTTTGTTAGTTCAACATTGTTTATAGTTAAGGAAAGCGTCATTCTTAGTTCAACATTGTTTATAGTTAAGGAAAGCGTGTTTGTCAGTTCAACGTTGTTTATAGTTAAAGAAAATATTCTCGTTAGTTCAACATTGTTTGTTGTTAAGGAAAGCGTCATTCTTAGTTCAACATTGTTTATAGTTAAATTAAACGTCTTTGTTGGTTGAACATTGTTTATATTAAGTAAAACTATCACGTTAGTTAAATTAAACGTCTTTGTTGGTTGAACATTGTTTATATTACGTAAAACTATCACGTTAGTTAAATTAAACGTCCTTGTTGGTTGAACAGTGTTTATATTAAGTAAAACCATCACGTTAGTTAAATTAAACGTCCTTGTTGGTTGAACAGTGTTTATATTAAGTAAAACCATCTCGTTAGTTCATTTTAGATTTTTGTTTCTGTTTAGACTTTCCGACCAGAAAGATTTTCTGACGATTCCTTGGAGGACAGGGATCCTTATGCCTTCGTGCCTTTTTCTGCCGGTCCTAGGTAAGTTTTTATGTCCACATAAACCTCCTCTTCTGTTCAAGGGTTTAACCACAACAAAGAAAATACATAAAAGTCATTTATCAAGTTTTCTGACCTAGTCATCACTGGTCCTTGCATTTTTGAGCGATCTCTACTGACTATCGGTAAGTTTGCCTTTTGCGTTTTTTCGCGTTCTTTAACAAAAAAGACACACAAAGGATTTCACAATGAAGAGGATCATTTGAACGTAATGACAGGCCAATAATAAAACTGTTAATACTCCTTTAACAAGTAATCGGTACATCTCCATATAACCGTGGAAATGCTTATTGTTTGGAACAAACCGACACACTCCATTTTTTGTTGGTACTTATTGACACAGCCTTTGAATATCGTTATGCAAAAAATGGTTTCGCTAGGAACATTGGTATGAAGTTTTAAAATTTCGATTTCGTTTCTATAACTTTTCATGTACATTTGAAGTTATGCAGCTGTGAAGAATTTTCTTTCTGATAAAACGTATTTCTTTCTCTTACAGGAATTGTATCGGCCAAAACTTCGCTCTAAACGAAATCAAAGTTGTGCTGACAAGACTTCTGAAAAGGTACGACCAGCTCGCGTGACTTGCAACATAAATACTCCTATAGAGTTGTTGTAGTCTGGCTTGTATTAGTGTTGGTTTTATACGAAACGTGATTAGCAGAACGATCAAGCTGTGTTCTACAAAAGCAATCAGTTGTCTTGTATAAGTTAAGGGTCTCAAGGACTAATTGATTTTAAAACCACGTGCGTGTTAATTATATCCGTCGTGTGAGAGAATGAATTGTTAACTAATACATGTAATCAAGGGAGAAACATGGCTGTTGTACTCTACATCCTACATAACAAGTGTTCTGGGGATGCTTGACTGTTTTATGTAAAGTTGAACAGTACTTCTCCGTTCGTGATATATGTTTGTGTTGGCGAAACAACTAGCAACAAAACGTGATGGTATTAATGCATATTGGCACATGGAAGTATTATAGATGTAGTGAAATAAGATAACGGAGCGTAATATTGAAATTATGATAACTTCTCATAGAAAATTAGATAAAAATAGTAATAACTTATACGCATAAGGTTGAGAAAAGCTGGGTATTCATTTATCTAAAAGATGACTCTGTTTTGTCAAATATAAAGCGGTTATATCTTAGTTGGTTATGTAAACGCAGACGTTTTGAGGACTTTTTATTGATAGACTCACGTGATGCTCAGCATTCAGCTGCTTGTCGGATGGCGTAGCGATATAACGCCATTGCCTTTCTCCTAGGCAACGGGGTTAACTCCACGATAGGACGTGTCCTCGCGGGCTTTTCAGGGGTATATATTCATAATTTTTACAGTAATACCACTCTCAACACAAAACAAAAATAGGAGTTGATAATACTTGTTTACGAATTATGAAATAAATAGGATAAACAAAATAAAGAGACAGCTTTTAAACGCTCCTATCTGTAATACTTAAGTGTAAAACTCACTACGTTACAAGTATATCTAACACTGTGTGCCAATGATTGTAATTTCTGGCGTGCTTTAAAATCCGAATGTGTCTATTTATAACCTGATAGTTCTTTAAATAAAACCCGTCGGAAATAGCAGGGTACATATAAAATATTTAGGCTCTAAATGTAGATATGTAAAGCCATCCTTGTAGTCCCTGTAGAATGCCATACAAGAAATCTATTCTTGTTGCGTAAAATAATCTCACATGGAGATAATGCCTATCTTCAAATCTGAGAAATAGTCATTTCATTATTCATTATACATAGTATCTTTTGAATTCTCTTCTTTTGATTGGTTTTAAATCAGACACAAAGAACACCTTTATGGTGTGGGAAAGGTTAACCTCATGGATATTATTAATTGAATTGAATTAATTAATTAACCAATTTTGTTTATAAAATATAGCTGACTTTTAATTGAACATACCTTCAAGAACTAACCATACACGAAATGCTGGCTATTCTTTCAAAAACTCATATATGCTGTAATCTTACGCTTTAACCACGTCACTGAAATTATCAAGAATAGTCAGTCATTGCCTAGATATTGTCAGACCATGACGGCATGGTCTAGAACTTGAGACCACGGGAGGTCTACGACTTCAGACCACGACATTGTCTAGAACTTCAGACCACGACATTGTCTAGAACTTCAGACCACGACATTGTCTAGAACTTCAGACCACGACATTGTCTAGAACTTCAGACCACGACATTGTCTAGAACTTCAGACCACGACATTGTCTAGATCTACAGACCACGACATTGTCTAGAACTTCAGACCACGACATTGTCTAGAACTTCAGACCACGACATTGTCTAGAACTTCAGACCACGACATGGTCTAGAACTTCAGACCACGACATTGTCTAGAACTTCAGACCACGACATTGTCTAGATCTACAGACCACGACATTGTCTAGAACTTCATACCACGACATTGTCTAGAACTTCAGACCACGACATGGTCTAGAACTTCAGACCACGACATTGTCTAGAACTTCAGACCACGACATTGTCTAGAACTTCAGACCACGACATTGTCTAGACCACGACTGTCAGACCACGACATTGTCTAGAACTTCAGACCACGACATTGTCTAGAACTACAGACCACGACATTGTAGAACATTGTCTAGAACTTCAGACCACGACATTGTCTAGAACTTCAGACCACGACATTGTCTAGAACTTCAGACCACGACATTGTCTAGATCTACAGACCACGACATTGTCTAGAACTTCAAACCACGACATGGTCTAGAACTTCATACCACGACATGGTCTAGAACTTCAGACCACGACATGGTCTAGAACTTCAGACCACGACATTGTCTAGATCTACAGACCACGACATTGTCTAGAACTTCATACCACAACATTGTCTAGAACTTCAGACCACGACATTGTCTAGAACTTCAGACCACGACATTGTCTAGATCTACAGACCACGACATTGTCTAGAACTTCAGACCACAACATTGTCTAGAACTTCAGACCACGACATTGTCTAGAACTTCAGACCACGACATTGTCTAGATCTACAGACCACGACATTGTCTAGAACTTCAAACCACGACATGGTCTAGAACTACAGACCACGACATGGTCTAGAACTTCAGACCACGACATTGTCTAGAACTTCAGACCACGACATTGTCTAGATCTACAGACCACGACATTGTCTAGAACTTCAGACCACGACATTGTCTAGAACTTCAGACCACGACATTGTCTAGAACTTCAGACCACGACATTGTCTAGAACTTCAGACCACGACATGGTCTAGGACTTCAGACCACGACATTGTCTAGAACTTCATACCACGACATGGTCTAGAACTTCAGACCACGACATTGTCTAGAACTTCAGACCACGACATTGTCTAGAACTTCAGACCACGACATGGTCTAGAACTTCAGACCACGACATGGTCTAGAACTTCAGACCACGACATTGTCTACATCTACAGACCACGACATTGTCTAGAACTTCATACCACAACATTGTCTAGAACTTCAGACCACGACATTGTCTAGAACTTCAGACCACGACATTGTCTAGAACTTCAGACCACGACATTGTCTAGAACTTCAGACCACGACATTGTCTAGAACTTCAGACCACGACATTGTCTAGAACTTCAGACCACGACATTGTCTAGAACTTCAGACCACGACATTGTCTAGAACTTCAGACCACGACGACTTCAGACCACGACTGTCTAGAACTACAGACCACGACATTGTCTAGAACTTCAGACCACGACATTGTCTAGATCTACAGACCACGACATTGTCTAGAACTTCAGACCACGACATTGTCTAGAACTTCAGACCACGACATTGTCTAGAACTTCAGACCACAACATTGTCTAGAACTTCAGACCACGACATTGTCTAGAACTTCAGACCACGACATTGTCTAGAACTTCAGACCACGACATTGTCTAGAACTTCAGACCACGACATTGTCTAGAACTTCAGACCACAACATTGTCTAGAACTTCAGACCACGACATTGTCTAGAACTTCAGACCACAACATTGTCTAGAACTTCAGACCACGACATTGTCTAGAACTTCAGACCACAACATTGTCTAGAACTTCAGACCACGACATTGTCTAGATCTACAGACCACAACATTGTCTAGAACTTCAGACCACGACATTGTCTAGATCTACAGACCACGACATTGTCTAGAACTTCAGACCACAACATTGTCTAGAACTTCAGACCACGACATTGTCTAGAACTTCAGACCACAACATTGACCACGACATAGAACTTCAGACCACAACATTGTCTAGAACTTCAGACCACAACATTGTCTAGAACTTCAGACCACGACATTGTCTAGAACTTCAGACCACGACATTGTCTAGAACTTCAGACCACGACATTGTAGAACTCAGACCACGACATGGTCTAGAACTACAGACCACGACATGGTCTAGAACTTCAGACCACGACATTGTCTAGAACTTCAGACCACGACATTGTCTAGAACTTCAGACCACGACATTGTCTAGATCTACAGACCACAACATTGTCTAGAACTTCAGACCACAACATTGTCTAGAACTTCAGACCACGACATTGTCTAGAACTTCAGACCACGACATTGTCTCAGACCACGACATTGTCTAGAACTTCAGACCACGACATGGTCTAGAACTACAGACCACGACATTGTCTAGAACTTCATACCACGACATGGTCTAGAACTTCAGACTACGGCATTGTCTAGAACTTCAGACCACAACATTGTCTAGAACTTCAGACCACAACATTGTCTAGAACTTCAGACCACAACATTGTCTAGAACTTCAGACCACGACATTGTCTAGAACTTCAGACCACAACATTGTCTAGAACTTCAGACCACAACATTGTCTAGAACTTCAGACCACGACATTGTCTAGAACTTCAGACCACGACATTGTCTAGAACTTCAGACCACGACATTGTCTAGGACTTCAGACCACAACATTGTCTAGAACTTCAGACCACGGCATGTCTAGAATCTTCAGACTACGCCATCGTCTAGAACTTCAGACTATGGTTATCGTCCAGCACCTTCATAAATTTGTACCTTGGCTATACCAGAATCGTCATACCGTAGAATTGTCTAGAATCTTTTTTTGGAAATTCAATCTTTGGCTCAATACCTCAAAAAAATAATAATCTACACATTTGAGTCAGTTTCTTCGTTGTTTTTGCCAATACGTTTTGACATTACTTTTAAAAATACACGGAAATTAGCGTACATATAACGTCATTGTCTTGTAGATTCAAAGTGGAGCTGGACGAGGATCACGAGATTGCGTTCGTTCCGGATTTGGTAATGAGGGCAAAGAACGGGATCAAAGTTAAGCTGAGTCCTCGCTGATGGAAGTGGTTAGATCACACAGATTGTGTATTAAAATGTTTTTACTGATGGTTGTTCAAACTGACAGTAATTTGTAAATATTATATCGTGATCAGGTCGTTCCTCATCTCTGTATGTTGTATAGAATTTATGGCAGACATTTATCTCAGGAATCGTGATATTTTGAATCAAGGTGCTGCACAAAAACCTTACGTACATTAGGGACTCCAGGTACAGTTTAATGATATCACTTTGCTTACCCAAATTACGGCTGTTAGATATTCTATTAGCTTTTATTAACTTTTCATGTAAAGTTATATCGATGGCTGTATGCTAACTCACGACACCCAGTCGATCCACTATACTAATTTTCATCTATGGTCACCGTTAAATTACCCCCCCCCCCCTCCCCCGTCCTCCGGACAGGCAATTGACCAAACATGTAAAACTTGCATATTGTTTCAGATTTTACGTAACGATTGTGCTATTTTCTATATATTGTCAACAGATCCTGTCATGTGACCATGCGTATGTCAGTTTAACAGGCTTGTTACTTCTTCATGTCTCTGTCACGTGACCATTCGTGTATCGACTGTAAAGGTTTGGTACGTCTTTATATCATCGTCACGTGACCATATGTGTATCAGCTGTAACAGATTACATCCTAACGTCACTGCTACGTGGCTTTATGTATATAAGTGGTAACAGGTTCGTTACATCCAGAGATAACCATTGTCACGTGACCACGCGAGCATCAATCGGTTAACTAATTAATCAAAAAAAGAATAAATTGACACATAGTGTTTATTTTTGTCGGATCATGCTTGAGCCTCAGGTTGAATTGCTATCTAACCCGTATGTATCATGTAGTACGTCTACACAGGAACGAACTTCAATACATTATTGAACAGTAGAAAGGTATTGTAGTTTTATTTAAAACTTTATTTGTCTAGTTATGTCGCCATCGCTGTTTGGAAATGGCGTTATTCACATTAATGATTGATTTCCAGTTCATAAAATAAATAACAATTTAAACACATAAAGTGAATGTTTCTGTAGTTCTCCGTTTTATGTGCAGCTTTAAAAGCTGGAGCTGGTTTTTGCTGTAGACCAAAGCAGGCAAGCATTGTAGTCTTCTCGAATCGGTCCGATGATTGTTCTGCAACCTCTGTAATCATTTACCGACATCATTTAGAACTAAATGTATGAAAATAAAATACATAAAGAGGGCTATTAATCTTTACATCAAGGTTGGTTTAAACTTGACAGAAAGATGTAGGATCAATCATGAATTAATTAATGGTTGTTAACCACTATACAAGTATTACTGGTTAAAACTGACGCGCTTGCAACGTGCTTATTATGCAGTGATTGTAGTCGTAGGGAGAATAACCGAATATGGGCAGAGGAATTTTACAGTTATTTCAACTTCGCGTAAAAGCGAATCTATTCACGTTGAAATTGTAATGAAATTATATTTAAAAAATTAGATAATATTTTTCATCGTGAAAAATCTAAATTTTTCAAGGGCTCAAAAAATTCCGAAGTTGGTAATTTTTCAGTGCATTTTTATTGATAGGCACTGGAAAGGAGACTTTTAAATACAGAAGGGCTTTCAAATTTTACATCTCAGCGAAAAGATGATATTTCATATCTTGAACTTAGAAACAGAAAGACAATTTGTTGACGAGATGATTTCAAACGAGGAAGAACCGGGACTGCAATTTTGTCGACTTTTAAGCCAGATGAAATTCACTAAAAATTGACCAGGCAAGGGATTTATTGTAAAATCTTACGTTTTAATGTTGCTTTTTGGTAGTTACAATAGGTTAAAATAACAAATGGGATTTTGATATGGGAAGAAAGGGAAGCTCCGAGTGAATTGCGCATATACATGTATTTGGATGCTACATATAAACACAGTTTGGGAAACAGGAGTGATGAATAAAAACCTCTTACAACAGTACAATTATATTCTGTAGAACAGAACTCAGAATCGCAAACAGTTCGTGTTTAAAGCAATTATTTCTCTTTCTCTTAGGAATCTCTGAAAGTATTTTCTTCTTGTAAGAATCGCATCTGATATTTTCGTATGAAGAACAGTATTTTTATGATATGGAAATATATAAATTTTAACAAAATTTTCAGAATTGAATAGAAAATGTTTAGATAGAGGATTCCTTTCCTTAATCTCCACAAGAGATTTTAAAGGTTTTTATTTATGTAGAAATGAATAACATGAATGCTTATCATACTTATGCATGATTGACATATCTTAAATTTAATAGATTACATAATCGAAATTCCTATATATAAAATAACTCTTAATTTGGTTTAGGGAAACATTTTCCATTAAAGTCGGTTGTGTACCACTTTCCTATCCGGAACCATCAAAGCAAGTATTTCGGTAACCGTGGATAGTATATACTGTCTAAGACATGCCTGTGTGATTATATAAGGTTTTGTTGTCGGGCAGTAAAGTGTCAAATTAACTACCAATAAATGATTTACCAATGGTACCTACCAACTATATTGATTGATGGCTAAGTCTTAGACCACATGCAAACTCACACGTCGGATTACTGATGGTCGACACGATACACTTAATAATTCACGCCCTCCTTGCCAGACAATCAGCCTAGAAAATATGTACCAGAGGGATAGACCGTAGTTACTCCTCTATACAAAGTGGGTCCATTCTCATTCGTCTTGAAAGTTTCGCCATTCTAATGCTTTGTTGTTTGACCTCGCGAATAAGGGAAAATTCGCGCACGTGTGATTGATGGTGACATTAAACATCTGTGGCCGCCATTATCGTATTTTTTTCTTGTTAACAAATATGAAAATGTGTACCTAGCTTACATTACATTGTTATTACCTCAATTTGGAAATTATACTACCAGTTGTGCTAATCTCTTTTAAATAATTTTTCCGTTAGTAAATGTACCTGTACAATTTGATGAATACGTCTTGATTTTACCATTTCTTGTCGTGGACGCGCAAACATGTCGTTATTTATGGTAATTGATATCATAAAAATGATTATTGGGTTACTTTATAACCTGTTGGTTAAATACGGTAATTGGAATCCCAATAAAATCGACAAAAAAACTCCAATATATTGGGCAGTAAGTCAGTAGCTCTTTATAGCTGCGCCCAACGGGTTGTGGAAATGAGTCGACGGCCTGTAGCCAGAAGAATGTACTCCCGTTTCCGCTCGGCTAAGTTTATTTTCTTTATGTCTTTATGTAATGCATTGGTGATGCTCATGAACATCGTGTATATGTATAACAGAGGGGAGGTAATCCAAACCAAACAGGAAATAATTCGTGAAGTTATAAGAACAGTGCCATGTGAAGAAGATACAGAAAAGGAACACAAAGCAAAAGTGCGCGTGAAATATTTTGGAGAAGAAAAACAACGACACGAAGAAGAGGAAACAGAACGCGAACTCCCACTTTGTACGAATAAAACGGAACAAGACGTCGAATGTGAAATATCCTTCTCTGAGTTTAATTATCCATTGGAGATAAATATGACTAAATTAGTGTCTGACTACAAACGTCAGGGATATGTAAATGAGGTAATCATCAACAAATACACTCATATCGAGACAATCGTTCCAGCCAAATCTTGCATGTACGGAGACAAGAAGGAGTCACAAAAAAACGTGTTTATGATATATCTAATCAAGAGCACACCTACCAACTACGCTAGGCGCAATGCTATCCGAAAGTCTTGGGCCGACGAAAACAAGTTTCCGAATATCCGGCTAGTGTTTCTAATGGGAATTCCGGAAAGGTCAGCTCTAAATGATATGGTTTTAGCTGAGAGTAAAGAGTTCAGTGACATTCTGCAGTTAGATTTTATAGACACGTATTACAATTTAACATTAAAAGCTATCGGTGGAATAAGATGGACGGCGAAGAATTGCCCTGGAGCCAAATTTGCAGTGATGGGGGACGATGACTATTACGTGGCAACGGATTTCATGTTATCTTTACTGGAACATATTCATAGTTTTCAACCCGCAGGGGTATACATGGGTGGACTGATACATAGTGCTAAACCTCAGCGAGATCGGTCTGCCAAGTGGTATATCTCTCCCGCGGATTATCCTTTTAACAAGTATCCTCCAGTTATCCGAGGAGGAACTCTCGTTATGTCGATGGACTTTGTTATTGACATGAACATCGTGATACCTTACACAAAACCCATTCGATTCGACGACGTGTATTTCGGCATTGTAGCCTATAAACTCGGGATAAAGCCTATGACCGAAGACAGGTTTGCCATCCGGAAAGTGAGGTATTCTGATGATGAGTTCCGAACGGTTCTTAGTTCCCACGGTTACAAGCGTCCGTTTGAACTCAAACATGCGTGGCGATGTCACGAAATAATGCAGGAATTGGCGCGAGAAAACTCGACTAAGAAAACATGTTGGTGAATGTATATCGATCCTTTCTGCTGGAAGCTGGTATCACAGGTGGCCGCAGAGGTTAATCAACATTTATAAGGAGAATAAAACGACTAGTGAACAGGTAAGGTATCCAAAACTGAAGTGACGCGGCCTCCATTGGAAGGGCTTCCGTTCCTACAACAATAAATATTATACTCTCTGTGGTCAAAAAAACCTTCAGTGTGGCAGTTAAATAACGAGACTTCGGTGCTTAAAAGAGGATTCCAGTACGACAGTTAATCTCGGTGTGACCGTGAAATGAAATTATCAGTGATTTTATAGATATGTAATGGCAATACATTCAATGACTAATTATTTCAGTGAAATGTTTTGTTTTTAATACTTTTCCCCTAGTGTTACATTCTCTCAAATAATTAAAACGTCATGTGAGGGCAGATTTCACAGACGGTGGACCAATTCCAAATAAAAGATTAAACGATTCTAAATATACTTTACCTTGTTACAAGATGGTTCATTTTGACATACAGTTTTTATTAAAACGTCTTTACCTATATAACAACGTGTTACACGGTGGTTCATTTTGACAGAAGTTTTAATTACACTGTCTTTACCTATATAACAACGTGTTACACGGTGGTTCATTTTGACAGAAGTTTTAATTACACTGTCTTTACCTATATAACAACGTGTTACACGGTGGTTCATTTTGACAGAAGTTTTAATTACACTATCTTTACCTATATAACAACGTGTTACACGGTGGTTCATTTTGACAGACAGTTTTAATTACACTGTCTTTACCTAGAGAACATTGTATTTTGTTTTGACGTCTTTTCATTTGTTCACAAAATGGACGCCATATTAAAGGGTTTTTTTTTCTGTCGAAAAACGATAAAATACATTTTTTAAACATTTTAATATATTTTAATGAGCGTATTTTAAACATCATATATACTAGTATATTGTATGTTTAATTTAACAGTGTAAGTATAATCGATAATACTAACAACAGAAGCCACATAAAGATTATAATGTGCTAAATGTATAGAGAGGGTACTTTTTTAATATCCCTGCATTAAATAATACCCGAAGAACAAACTATGCACTCTCCTTAACATGACAACCGTCAGACAGATCCCATATTTCGTTCTAGAAACCTAAAATTTCAAACACGAAGGTTCGAAATGTGACTAATGTTGTGTTAACCGAGTTACATCCAGCTCTATTTGCTACTTGGGCGATAAAATAATGCAGGTCATATAAGAAATGGTTGTTTTATATACTTATTTCACTCTCTGTCGACATTTTCTAAAAGTCACTAAAAACGAGCTTCAGCGAAATGAAATGATCAATTAGATTGAAAGAAATACATAGACAACATCCACAGGCTTTACAAAATAAGATATAAAAAAACAAATAATTACAATAACGATTGCAACTACTTTTTGTGTGTTTTGATTTCAGCAAATCGACCTCCCGGTCAAAGTTCAGCGTGACCGCTACTCAAAACGCGTTCAAGGTTTAATGCACTTGTGATTAGATTTGGTCTGCTTAAAAAAGAACGATCGTATGATTAACTGATGCCTTTAGGATTAGAATGACCTTCACCTATGAAGATAGAGAACATGCCAGGAGATCGACCTAATCTTCAACTTAAGATGACATTTCTTGGGTCAACCTCAGATAATAAGAACAAATAACTATAAATAAAAAAAAGTAACAATTCTTGTTACTATTAGTCAATACACGCAGAACATACAGGAACATAGACAATACACACAACGTACAGGGACATAGACAATACACATACAACGTACAGGAACATAGATAATACACACAGAACGTACAGGGACATAGACAATACACACAACATGTACAGGGACATAGACAATACACACAACACGTACAGGGACATAGACAATACACACAACGTACAGGGACATAGACAATACACACAACGTACAGGGACATAGACAATACACACAACACGTACAGGGACATAGACAATACACACAACGTACAGGGACATAGACAATACACACAACGTACAGGGACATAGACAATACACACAATGTACAGGGACATAGACAATACACACAATGTACAGGAACATAGATAATACACATACAACGTACAGGAACATAGACAATACACATACAACGTACAGGGACATAGACAATACACACAATGTACAGGAACATAGATAATACACATACAACGTACAGGGACATAGATAATACACATACAACGTACAGGGACATAGACAATACACACAGAACGTACAGGAACATAGACAATACACACAGAACGTACAGGAACATAGTCAATACACACAGAACGTACAGGAACATAGTCAATACACACAGAACGTACAGGGACATAGACAATACACACAACACGAACAGGAACAGAGTCAATACACACAGAACGTACAGGGACATAGTCAATACACACATAGCGTACAGGGACATAGACAATACACACAGAACGAACAAGAACATAGACAATACACACAGAACGAACAAGAACATAGACAATACAAACAACACGTACAGGAACAGAGTCAATACACACAGAACGTACAGGGACATAGTCAATACACACAGAACGTACAGGAACACAGACAATACACACAGAACGAACAGGAACATAGACAATACGCACAGAACGAACAGGAACGTAGACAATACACACAAAACATACAGGAACACAGACAATACACACAGAACATACAGGAACATATGGAAATGTGTGCAAAACCAAAACTGATTCCGATAAGCATTGCGTATCGCCAATAGAAAACAAAACAAAAAAAATTGTGATATCACAAAATACTGATGCAAGAAGGCAAAATAATTGCATTTCTAGTCACTGAAGGAAACAAGTGACGAACACAATGGACGATGTAGCAATGCCATTAAGGTATATCTCAGTTTTCTTAAACTACATTAAATAAAATATAACACCTTTGTTTTTGCCTCGGTATTTCTAAATCTATATGAAATATTATTACCTGGTACTATATGCCATATAAATATTTTATCCAACACTGGATGTACAATATAAGCACACTTGCCAGTCGGTTGATTCATTAATTGAGAATGTAAAAGTGTATACAAGACACTTATACAGTGATAATAAAGGAACTTTCATAATAATCGTGATTAAACATCGACTTAAAGTTAATCATTCTTCATTCTTGAAAGTGAATAACCTTTTAATATTGTAACATTTTTACACATGTTTGATGTCATCATTATTTGCAGCAGTTCCCACTGATTAAAAAAATATCATGGATAGTGTTCACTGATGTTTTGGTAGGTTTTTCTATGTAATCATGAACCCTTATGTACATCCATGATTCACAACACTATGTCATAGCACAAACCCTAGGCACTTTGGTTTTTTTTATCTTTTCTTTACACATTTGATTGGTTGTCTCTGAGCGTGTTACAAAAACATCCAGCTTAGTTAAAATTGGTTCATGGGTAAAATCATTATGTTCCTGAAAGGTGTTCTTTATAGCATTTATGTTATGACTGAATAAGTCGGACCTTGGTTGTGAAACATATTTCTTTGATTTGTAATAAGGGTGCACGTATATTTTTTACGTCAAACCTAAACAACAACTTTCAGCTATGTATGTTCACCATTTTACACTAACACTGAAATGTAATACCTAAAAATGTAGAAGTCAGTATCAATGTGTAATTCAGCATGACAGTGACCAAAGTAAATACTTACTGATGAACTATATTGCAAACAAAAATCATATTAATGGAGATCAATTTAACAAATAGATAATAAAAATACAAAAAAAGCAATATATAACAGCAGTTTTTAAACACTAAATGAATTAAAGCTCAATCCAATAATAACTACTCGTCCCTTCCCTTCTCGACGTATCGACGTAATTTCACAATCCTCCTTATACTAATAGAACAACATATATTTTTACTTTCCAGATGCTTCAAAAATCATATAACAAACTTTATGTAGACAAATTAAAATACTGATATCTATCTTCCCAGTACATCGACAAAGTTGTAATTACTGTACTTTCAAATATACCCAAGGACTTTCATATACCTCAAAGATAAATCAACATTTATATTTATATCTCTACTTTAAGCGCCATTTAAGAATCCTCTGTTATTTTCCCTATTAAACAACATCATTTAATCAACTTTCATATTGTTAACTACTTCGAAGATATATTATGATATATGTACATATACTTAGTTTATCGTCTCCTACGATGTTTATGTATTTCTAATATCTTTGTATAACAACATACTTCTCAGATTGTCTTGGTATTCATAGGATTGTACTGTCAAATACATTTACTTTTTTCTGATGTCACTTGGTTACAAAATATATTCATACATATACCAATTAATATCAAAAGTAAAAAAATAATTTAGTATAAATATGTCCTGACGATGGTTGTAGTATTTTGTCAGACGTAGTTGTGCATATTTATACATGTTTCCGGAATTGCTCCCACTCGGTTTCCAATTTTTATTTGAAGATATCCTTTATTTTGATTTAGCAGTTCTACCTTATCTCCAACTCGAACGGACAGCTCAAAAGGCATCTGAATTTAACAAATACAATAATTAGTCAATTATAGTTCAAACGGCGTCTGAAGATAACATACAATAATGAGTCACTTATATGTAGTTCAAATGGCGTCTGAAGATAACATACAACACTGAGTCCATAATGTAAGGTAGAAAGGGCATCTGATGGTAATAAATACAAGGAGACACTTACGTTTGGCAGAAAGAGCATCTATTGATAATACATACAACAATGGGCTCATTGGGCCTGCATCGCTTACCTGACTTTGCTTCGCTGAGATTGTTTCATCATAACTAAAGTAAAGGATATTCTGATTCTAATATTATCTATTGGCCTCCGCCGTTCTGCCCCAAAGAGTTAAAAAAGCAACCGATGCAAAAGTCTTCCTCACCCAAAATTACTCCAAACCAATCTGGGCTTCAATCCAAACATTCCAACGGAGGGAGACTTACTGTTTATACGACATTGATTCCCCTTCATCAAAGCAAGCTTCAGACCAAATTTGGACAAAATCCTGACATTCCAACAACAGACTTAGTATAAGTCTCAGATCGACTATATATACAAAAGTGATTCACTTCATCACAGGATGCTTACCAAATTTTGCCTAGTATACTTGCCTTCCCAGTGGTCTCAGATCGACTATATATACAAAAGTGATTCACTTCATCACAGGATGCTTCAGACCAAATTTGGACAAAATCCTGACATTCCTACAGACGAAGGATCTTAGTATAATTTGCCTTCCCAGTGGTCTCAGATCGACTATATATACAAAATTGATTCACTTCATCACAGGATGCTTCGACTAAATTACGACAAAATCCTGACATTCTACAGGCGAAGTGTCTTAGGATAAGACCCTTATCCCCCTCCCCCAGGGGCTGAGACTGACAGTGAAATACACCTACAAATTGTAATGTAGTAACGAAATTAACAGGATACAAATGGAACCTTAGATTACAAAAATGTATGTATACAAAAGGATACCTAAAGGTACTACTGACACACCAATAACAGTGTTTATCACTATATTTTAAATAACAAGACCCATGGTATTTATGGACCTAGTCGATCAGACCTGATTTATGATGTCATTTTCCGTACAATTGAAAGGAAATAAGCGTTTAAGATATTTCAAAGTGTCATTTTATCATGTATTTTCAAAATGTGTCACTTTGATTGATATCTGGGTCTGTGATACCTACCGTTACGGTAGAAATTTAGGTATTTAGTGTTCTTTAGTATTAATATAATCTAATACACTTAAAACGAATATACATCCTAAACTATATAGCAATATATTACAGCAACAGAGTGTGTCTGAAAGATGAAAAATTGGTATCCATCCTAAACTATATAGTTATATATAACACAAACTTTTTAAAACTACCAAGTAATGTATTACAAAATGTAAGGTGTCTTATATGCGGTTAATTTGATACACATCGTAACCTCTATGACAATGTATTACACAATCACTTATAAATATATATATAAAAAATAAATAAAAATATATCCAGTCTAAGCTATATGGCAATTTATTGCATAAACACGAGGCGTCTTAAAAAAAATTATAAATATTCACATCTAAACTTTATGGTATGTATTACACAGACACAATGTGTCTTATAAAATGTAATCAGTATGAAATACATACATCCTAAGGAATATGACAATATATCTAACCTACACAAGTTTTGCTCTTATATGGCTTTAACTGTACATGTACAGAAAGTTTACCTAGATAACGAGTGGGATTGGGCGGAAGAAACCATTGATTTCTAGCGTTCAATTAACATACTGCCTAAATAGCTATAAATGTGGAACAGCAGGACTTTTCTCTTATTTAAAAATTTAGTGTTCATCTTCAGAATTTATGCATAATTTTCAACGTTTAGTTTCTTTAATAGAAGTTGTATCTGACTATCAAGCTAGGTTTTCAGGGCTGATTATTCGACTATCAAGCTAATTGGCTAAGAGGCATAATTATTTTGGTAAAGATTTGTCACTACAGCCAATCATGTAACAAATGATTGTTTTAATTCGGCAAACCTTCAAGGCCAGAAGTCAGAAAGGTGTTATGGTCGTGTGTTTTTATATTTTCGTTCGTATAAAAAAGTGAAAATTAACAAATAATGACGTTATCAATGACTTTATCATAAGTGGAAAATGTAATGTAAAAAAATGATAGTAAAAACCAAACAAACCCATATTTCATTGTTATGAAATGTTATTGTTTATGCCTTTATCATAAATATGGTTTTGTTATAAACACGTACTGCTGATAAAGTCTTGAGTTAATAAGTTAATAATAAGCAGTATTAAAAGCGGAACAATTTTGAAAACCACACAAACATTTAGTTAAGAGAAATCCTTACACAAAACCATGTTAATACTTTAAACATAGTATTTTACATGAATGACGATGTAGTATGGGATTCATTAAACGAATTCAATCATTTTAAACTTAAATAGCCTTTAGGCGAGTGAGTTCAAATTACTAAACGATGTTTAAAAGTTCCAGATTCCATTGGCATGAACGTTAGATTCCATTTATCATATAACTCATTTTCTGAAGAAAAACCAAAAACCATGTTTCGAAGCGTTTTTTATATCGGATGGAATAATTTAACGCCATCATGACGACAGTTATTTATGACCTCACGATACTATATTTATGATCTGGTCGTACGACTGACAAATATATTGTAATTTCACAACGATTTATCACATTTTTCAGGGCCATTTTCATCAGAACTTCCTTTAAAAATTGTACTCTTTGTAACTTGTTTTTGACATGTAATCTATGTCAGTTGTCTTCATTCATCTCATAAAATACAAATTCGTTTGTACTATACTTAATAGAACAAATACAGAACCTGTGTTCGAATAAGTTCGAGTGTAACTAATTTCTTTCGTCCCGATAACACACATAGTTACTCTAAGCATAACATGTCAAGCAAATATCGTTATTTCATGCATACACATACATAATAATAGATTGTTATAAAGCTACTGCCCATGTCCATAGACATAACGCTACTGCCCATGCTCATAAACATAAAGCTACTGCACATGCCCAGGGATATAACACTACTGCCCATGCCCATAGATATAAGGCTACTGCCCATGCGCATGCAGCAGTATAATATAACATTCTCTGTACAAGCCTTCGCCATTCCGTAAACACACCAACGTCATGCTGGTTACAGAATATATGCACAAACAGCTCGTGACAATACAAACGTCATGATTAATTTCACCAGATCTAATACCATACTATTACAACCTTGCCAGCTATCCAGAGTAGTGTTTCAACTTAAACGACAACAATCAGCCTACAGCTCGACACAGATTGCCAACACTTGCGCTCCAGACCACAAAGCATATGTACACTGCACTAATAAAATTCATATGTAAAGTGTAAGATGTTCAGTTAAAACCTGAGAAATTTTGTTATTATTGTCACTTGAAAAGCACATTAAACCGCAATGTTTATGTTGCTTGTTATGTACATGGACATGGACATGGAAATGGAATAATGATGTCGCCATGTACGGACGTATGATGCCATCACATTGCTTTAATCATACATAAAGGATGGCTACCTATGCAATACCGCATTTGAAAAACAGTCCTTATGAACAAAACGTGAGAACAGGTTTCTCATTTAGCCGTGTTAACATAGTTGATACATCAAATCACAAACCTCAAAACACATATATGCTCAGGACGAGCATAAGAGTTTCATCAAAACGTTTGGGAGCCCTGAAGTATTGGCAGTCTGTATACTTCACTAAACGTAAAGCACGTGTTTGCGTTTTTATTATTATTAATAGGTTCTTATTTCTAGAAAATACTTACCAGAGTCTTTCAGATGCCGCAACTACGATCTAAATATATATGTGCATCATGAAAAGTCACCACGCAGTGACAACGGGAAACCGTATCAAAGGAAGTGATTGATAGTAAAACGTGTCCACGGAGAAAGCATGTGCTCCACTTAATTTTCGCTTGAAAGTTGGTGGAGCAAGAGCTCGGTTGATATTACAAGATGCAAACTAATTTTGTGAAAGTAATATTTTATAATAATGATGTCAATGGACTTTATATTTGGTCTTATACTGTCTGTCAGTATCCATGGTCACGTAAACTTAGAAAATGAACTATTTTATAAATTAAATATAGATAAATGCCATAAAATATATATCTTTTAAACAGCTGAGAACACACGAATTACCAACCTTTGCATCATGTTGGCGTACTACATTAGCCATTCTATTACCGGGAGTTGTTGTGCTAATGCTTGCATACGCATCCTCGTCGTCTGAGAAGAAACAGGACAATATTATAGTTAAATGAAGAGAGCAATGGAGACAACAGACAATTAATGTTGACCAAGTATAAGCGCGAGAATGTGTGAGAGGGTAGACATTACAATTAGTGAATGTTTGTCAAGTAGGAGAGGGTAGGTAGAGTGTAGATACATTAAAACATTGACAGAGCAGGAGTGGATAGGATAGGAAAGAATAAATTTAAATGTATAGTAAACGCTTGACACAGTAGAAGAGAAAACATATAGTAAATGTTGAAAAGGTAGGAGTGGATGGGTGTGGGAAATATTTTAGAGGACAGGAGAGGGTAGGCAGAGTCAAGGTTTTACAGGGTATAAGAGTGATGATGATGGAAAAATATCTCACAAGATAAGAGATGGTAGATATAGTAAATGTTTTATAAAGGATATATTTGACAGGGTAGGAAAAATAGACTTAATTACACAGTAAATGCTTGACAATGTAAAAGGAAATGGTTTCTGTAATCGTTTGACTAGGAAGGAGGGAGTAGATATGGTTATTGTTTAACAAGCTATGATAGGGTGGATTTAAATATTCTATTAATTTTGACAGGATAGCAAACGTGAGATGAAATAAATGTTTGTCGTGGTAGGAAAGGATAGATATAGTAAATTTTTGATTGTCATGTGATGATTATTGTGACTGGACATTGCCATTTGATACAAGATATATTATCATGTGATATAATGAATAGAAATCATGTTGTTATTCGCATTTCACTCAATGAATTTGTATGATGCATCTAAGTCATTTAAATATATATATATATATATGCATAGTTTTTAATTTAATGTTACACATGCTACTTGAGACAAAGTTTTTAAAAAAAATCAACAAATGCATTTCTGACTCACAAATTCATGCACGTGCGAACATGTAAATACATCGATAAGAGAAATATGCAATAGGCAGTAAGTTAATTAGCATAGTCACTTTTTTTGTGATATGACATCACAATAGTTAGCAAAAGTTATTCGTATATGAACGTATAATGTCTTTAAGTGGGGCAATAGGTCATCAGACTCAATGGCAAGCCAAATTGTCATCTATTTATGGAGCAGCATCCAACCATTATTTGATTAAATAATTAAATTCGATTTGACAATTTGCTATAATCAACACAGCAATAGTTTTCACTGGAGTAAGCTTAACTGTAAGATTATATCGCGAGACAGAAATGACCACAGATATAGCCGTATTATGCTAATTTTAACCTGATGGGAGTCTGGTTGGACGTTCTCTCGACAGTGTTGGTGGTGGTGAAATCGGTGGTCCTCCCGACAAATTACGAACCAAAGGGAGGGGTTGTCGTGGACGTGTTCCACCCGATCTTGATAGCGTTGGCTGGGTTGATTGTGACCCTTTTCTTTCATAGTAACTAATATAAGGCACTTTCTCTGAAAAAATAAAACATAGAAATAATCCCGTTTCATTTGAGTTCATATTTCCACCGAAATTATTGCGTTTAGTCATTTGAATTTTACAGAAAACTATTTATCAGAAAATCATTTAAATGTTTCTCATAGTTAACTTTTTTGACTAGAAAATGTTATCATTTCTTACTGCATTGCTAATTTTATTTGTAGTGCGTGTTTTCATCAACATTCAGCCATAACAACGAAATAAAACAATAAGCTCAACCAGTAAGGTGTTGAAAAATGTATATAGATTCATTATAATCTATAATTATAATTAATGTCATAATGATCTCATCATGAAATGTTCTATTTCCTTTTGCGATATGAAGCAAGTCGTGTTTGGTGGTTGATGCTCGTTAGTATGCAGTGTTCAGTTGTTGTTAACATTTGTACAATTTAGGAACGGGACAGAACCGATATAAATTTAAATGGCGGCTGTTGTAAATGAAGCAGAGGACGCTAACTTACCATTCCAGAACAGCTGAATTTTTTCTATATCATATTTTGCTCTTGTTTCATCGAAAATGGGTTTGAATCAAGATTTTGTGGACGTGTCGGTATTCCCCTTTTTAGAGAGAATATGTTACGGTATAGGTTATGTTTTTGCGTGGTCCAATTTTTTTGCGGTTTTACTGCAGGTACAATATACTCACCAGGATGCGTCTGTCCCACGCCATAGTTTTCTATAAAAGTCTGTAGATCGGTTTCTATGTCACATTTCTCCAACACCTGACGTACTTTTTCTGCACACTAATGATAACATAAGAGATCAAAAATCAATCTTATATATTCTGTTTTGGTGATCATAAGTAGACTATTGTGTCGTGTTTTATTTCCTCCGTATACACATTTGCCCTGTATATGGTGCTTCGTGTAAGTCCTTGTTTAAGACAGAAAGTAATACCATATGAAATGTACAGATGGCAATGCAAGCAGACATATTGCTTTTTTCTCTTAAATTCTCGCTCACAGTAGTTAATATCGGCATAAGACATGTTTTCACTTGGAAAAATAGATAATGTTAACAGTATTTTCATTTAATAGCTTCATTTGGTGAAAGTTTCTATTCCCACTTTCCTTCGAAGTCTAGCTCTTTTGCTGTTATGCCATTCCAATGTATTATTAATGTTATATTTGATAATCACATGGTCGTCACTTAAGTGAGCGTTACCAATACAAGAACAATGCCGATACAGAGATTCATACGAGTTCAGCAACATATCTGGTGTCTAAGAACTGTAAACCACGCCTCATCGACGCCAGATTGACGAAGATTTACAAGATTATGATTCTATTAACATGTCGCTTTTTTCTTGTTCTTATTTATCATCCCCAAAATTAAAAGGGCACAACGAAGGAATTTTGGAAATTTACTCATGAAATATGAGAAATATCCATCGAATGGAGAAAAAAGTAATGACAAACTTTCATTGTCTACATTGAAGGTGTCCGTAAGTCAGCCATTTTGCTTTTTTTCATCCGTCCAAAAAAGAACTGGTTGCAAAGAGGGACCACGGGAAATCTAATTTGAAATCTGAGAAGGAGCGATCAAGAGCTTTTATCGGAAATACATTTATGTATGACAAACATTCACTGTCGCCACAACGCATCACCTGAGGTGGCCAGTACCAAGCCTATAACATCAAAATCACCGAGTGCACTAACGAGTATCGCAAAAATGACCATGGAATCTTGGCCTTCATCGATTCACATTTCTTGAAATCCTTTGTTTTAATTTTTTCTATCTTTTGTCGTCATCTAAATATATAATAGAAAACATATATTTGGAAACGACCATGAATATTGAACTAACAGATACAATTAAACTGTGAAAACAAACGAAAGACTTAGACTATGAAAATTATTATAAAAGAGCTAGTCATATTCAAACAAGATATAGATAAATAAAGATAAGGAAATGCTCACCAAAGAAAATACCAAGGCAACAACACGCGCGAGACACTTGGACAGGAAAGTATTCAAGAAAAAATTCACGTAGAACGACACAAAAGCAAAGAAAAATGATATCATAACATAAAAGGAAAGAAAAGAAACGATATGAAAGAGAGACTCGAATTGTAAATAAACACAAGAAGGATTCGATCATAAACCTGATAATACAGGACGTTACACCTCGTAACTATATCTTTAAGCTGTCACCTATACTATCAGAACTAATCAATGATAGTTCCTTTATTCACTATTGTTAGTGAAGATTTTTTTCAACTTTGTCGGAACCTGCAGATCAAAGCAGCTAATTGAAGCGTGAGATATTGACAAGAATTCATATATTGTTAATTTGAGGTATCCTTGTGTACGTAAAGCGGTCTCACGTTATCTTGTCTCACACACGCTTGAGAATCGACGTTTGTAATCTTCCACATAACGTTCCGTGTAAGATAGATACGCTCTTCCTCCATCTTTTGGAATGCCTGTAATACACAATATCACAATAGAATTATAATTATGGTAATTTCTCGTACTACAAGTTTTCCATAAAGATAAAGATTTCCGATCATCTCTCTGGCAAAACAGTAATTGACCAAACTATTAGGTTAAGGTGTTATTCTATTTGAACATCACATTTAACATATACATACGCATTGACAGTCTGGAACATTTTCTTTATTTTTCTATTCTTAAGATTTTACAAACATTCAAAATGTAAAACATCGAACACTACCAAAATATCTTAAATATTATGACATATGGTAGAGTATTGCAAGAAATATATGTTATATGTGATTTTGCATACAATTTGATAAAAAAAATTATCAGGTCCTTTTCAAGTTCCTACCAATCCAGTATTTCAGAATTGTGGATTATAGATATTTCTCTGTCTGACACGTATTGAACAGAGAATTAAGAGTAAACGTATCAACATTACTCGCAAACCGACAACAGATATTAAATCATCTAATGGCATTGAATCGTACATGAAATCGTCGTGATAACAAAATATTCTTCAAACAAAAAAATAATGCAGATAAAGGATAACATGCCTCACATGTTTCTGCCATGTTGGACTCCCATGCTCTGTGTGCTCCTTCTAGAGTGTCTACAGAACTTTTATAAGCCGTATCTAAAACAGTACAATATCATATTACAAACATAAAACGAAAGAATGTTAAATTAATATGATTCTAATAACGGGAAAAATATCGTTTTACCCAGCCTGATGGTAGAAAATACCAACATCCGGCATATTTTGCCAAAGATAAATCGAATTTGAGTTTCAATTAAGATTCTGTTGACACGTCATTTTCTTGTATTTTTACTTTAAATTGATACATTGACTTACCTGCGTGTTTCATACTTTCAAAGGCTTTCTCTTTATTCTTTTCTGCCTAAAACAACGGGAAAAATAAAACGCAATGTACATATAATAGTAACACGCGGAGAGTAACACACATAACCACACACACTTTATACATTGCTTACTGTTATTTAGATCCAGGAGGTACCGAGTCATTAATATTTTCTTGAGTTGTGTAGACCTTAGTCATTCTCTTTGAATTACACATTTCTTGTACATACCTTTTGGCTTTTTAAGTTCAAAGTACTTATACTCACCTTCCGGAGAACTATTGCTTTACTTACGGTATTCCCTTGGATATCATTGGTCATACGTACTACAGATATTTGATCTCTCTAAAATACATCATTAATTTGCAAGTGATCTTTTAGCCTCTCTATACAGCACACACACACATACACACATACACCCTCACACACACACACACACACACCCTCACACACACGTACATACCTTCTAGAGATATTTGGACTCTCTCTACACAGCACACACGCTTGTTCATACCTTCTTGAGATATTTGGACTCTGTGCAGCACAGACTTGTACATACCTTCTGGAGATATCTGGTCTCTATATAGCACATGCACACTTGTTCATACCTTCTGGAGATATTTGGTCTCTATATACAGTACACACACTTGTACATACCTTCTAGAGATATTTGGTCTCTCAATACAGCAAACACATTTGTTAATACCTTCTGGAAATATGTGGTCTCTCAATACCGCAAACACATTTGTTCATACCTTCTGGAGATATTTGGTCTTTCTATACAGCAAACACACTTGTTCATACCTTCTAGAGATATTTGGTCTCTCAATACAGCAAACACATTTGTTAATACCTTCTGGAAATATTTGGTCTCTCAATACCGCAAACACATTTGTTCATACCTTCTGGAGATATTTAGTCTTTCTATACAGCAAACACACTTGTTCATACCTTCTGGAGATATTTGGTCTCTATACAACACACACACTTGTTCATACCTTCTGGAGATATCTGGTCTTTCTATGTGACACACATGCTTGTTTATGCATTCAACAAATAACTGTTTTCTCTTTAAAATACATCATTGGTAGAGATTTTCTTAAATGTTTGGTCTCTCTATACGATAATTCTATATATATTTTGTCTTTTCCAACGATAAATTTTTTTAACGTACTTTCTGAGGACATTTGTTATGTGAGGAATAATTCCGTGTACACTTATTCAGAATATCTTTGTCCGTCCTCTATAACACGTTACATGTTCATACCTACCGGTCTGCTTCTGCGGTGCATTATTTGTACATTGCTATTGGAAATATTCGGTCTTTATATCCTCACCTCACCGCCTTCACATACCTTCATGAGATCTTTGGTCTGAGTTGCCACACTCTTTTTCGCTGATGCATATACATCATCTGCCGTGTCCCGCTCTCGGCATTTCTGCATATATTTTTCTCGAAGCTGTAAACAAACCAGCAAATAGATTTATAAACTGTTTGTTGTTAATCGATCTATAGTCCTTAAACTATACGCCTTCCTTCCTAGTAATTACAACTTGTTGTTAGTGGCCATCCTCTCTATTTTCTACAGTCAGGGTACATTATCAACCTCTTTATAATACTTTAACACCAATCATAACACTAGATATATGAATGCTTAATGACAGTAATACGGGTCAATTATAGATTAACACATGTTGTAATAGAAACTATACACTGAACCATTGAAATCGAAATAATGCAAAATAAACGACATAGTATTACAACACGTGTAAAATGATTTAAAAGTCGTATCACCTTGTAATATCACATCACACATATCTATGTATTTGTTATACATTTTATCTCATTCCGTCCTCATAAAATTGAAATAAACGATACATTTGCCAACACATTCTTTAACAATTGATTAACGGTTGATCATTATTTTTCTATTTCCAGTCCAAACATGACTCGATCGAAAAAAAAAAAAAAACTATGAGAAAATATTTTTGTTGAAGTCTTAATATATAATAGGCATAAATGAAAATCTAAAATATCACACAAATATCTACCTTAATTTGAAATTAGATTTACCACAGTGATATTAGAAAGTTTAGTCAACAATATTTGATATCAGAAACCAGCGCAACTGTCTATATTTTATTCCTATTTATCTTAACTTACCGTGACTGTCTTGGAGTGGCAAGATGACTTGTTACTTGTGGTTCTCTGTAAAAGGTCTGTTTTCTAGTTCGTAAAAGTAAAAGTACATGCAGCTAAAGTAGAATCACTAGAGTATGATTGAAACACTGGTACTTACGGCTATAGGAATCAATTAAGCTTTTACATTCTGAACTTTCTATCAATTTTTAGGTAATTATTTAAATGATTTATCGACATAAATCAAGGGCGTGTCTTATTGAAATACATTCATGGAATTTAATGAAGCATCAAATGTATAGATAAACCATTTAGGAGGACCCCCACCACCGCTCAACCCCCTCACCCATCCCTCATTAAGTATAATTTATTTTACATCTTTTCAGTGATAAACGATAATATGTATAGTTATAATTTAATATAATCATTAGTTTCTCAGCCTAACACTAATTTGTCTTTATCAATAATGTAACTAAGCTTTAAGAATAACTTCAATGCTTTTTCTACTTTTTTCCTACCAAGTCCAGTTCCACACTAGTTTGACTGCAGTAATGAAACCACTTTTTTTCCGTGCTTGCATAATGAGCTCGACATTAAATCCAATTTTCACAATTCGCTATCTATAATTGTATAAGTTTATAAAACGAAGGAACTAAGCAGTAAACATATATGATAACGACAGTGATGCTTACCTGACTTTTGATAACCTCCTGTTCCTTATTAAAGTTGCTTAATTCTATCGACAGAGACGACAAATCGTTACCAGCTGTTTCATGAGCCGTAGCTATATGTTCTGTCTCGGACTTCAGTGCCCGTATGGAACTTCCCAGGTCCCTGTTATAATCAATACTACGTTTAAAGGGAAGTGCACTATAATACATTTCACTAGTGTCATATGAATCTAGCATTTTGCTGATATTTCTTTGGTATTCAGAAAAATGTATATGATTTAATTATGAATGATATACATAATTAGATATTACTTTTAAGAACGTTCTACTACGTGACCTTGTTAATGATTATTCGAGGCTTTACTTACCCTATTTCTAAGGTGCCTTCTAATTTACGAGCTGCATGTTTAAGAGATTTTGCAAACGCTGCTTCCGCTTTAGCTCTGAAAAAGTAACAGGACAAGTACATAATTCACTTTCTAGATGTAGTGCATCTCCTAATCATGATTTTTAACTTTCGTCGATAAGTTTTGGTTTTCCTCAACTATCAGTTCATTATCTGACCCACCTATATCTAAATCTAAATTTATAGTTGTATTCTGCTGATGAAACAAACTATGAAAAATATCATTTAAGGAAGATAAATGACCATCATACAAACAGGTGCCAAATCGCATCACAGATAAGTGTTTAAACAAAGTACTGGTTTTGTATCGTAGGAATCATTGATTTTTTTTTTATCTACGAATAACATAGTTAGCCATCCACCATGTTTCGACCTTATTTTTGGCGTAAGGTCGGCATACTCCGTTTGATGAAAATATACATCTCATCAGCATGCTAATTCAAACTCAAATGCGATGAAACCACGGCAAAATATGAACAAAGGAAAGGTGTATGTGTAGACTCCTGGAAATGTACAGGGAGAATATGGCCCGAGTTTTACCATTTTCTGATTCATAGACCATATCAACCATGTAAATCCTCGTCAATGCAATAACACATTGTCACGTTTCCAAATGAGAACAGGGTAAACAAAAAATGGAGCCACCATGCCTTACTACCAGGCATCAGACATGTCCAACATTTCCCAATTAGATCTTTATGACTACCTCAAAACTTCCTATAAAATTGCCATTAACCTGAATTTCTCAAAAAAAAAAACGATGTTTTACGTTCATCTATCAGTTGTCGACATTTTGCGCGAAAATATTAACATAGGGAACAAAACCTTAAATATCGAATGAACAACATGAGTTAGGGAAGCTGCGATTATATACAGATGTGATATCTACAATAGGAAAATGGTGATCACCACTCATTATCCTGTTCGGTGGCCCTGTTGGTTTCGTTATAGGAAATGATCGAGACAGCTGTAAGAATGTTGAAAAAACTACCTCTCACTAACGAGAGTGAAAGAAATACCAAAAATGAAAGTTTTTGTGATCTGTTTCTTTCACCACAGAAAAGCTTTTTAGAGGATGATTTGACTTGTTCTGTTCTGTGATTTGTTTACGCCATCCTTTGGGACGTTACGATATGTACTGAAACTTCGTATTAAACGTACATTTAATACAATCCTTAGCTAACATTTGAACTGTACTCTATAAAGTATATTATGATCCTACCTTTCGGAGAGATATTCAATCAACTCTTTGCACACCTTCCTGCCTTCTTTCATTCGTCGTATTATTACATCGCTCCCTCTGGTGCTTGTTATATCCGCATCCTGGTAAAAGAAGTTGATATATCAATACAAATACCGTCATTCACGTGCAGCTATAAATATCTCCTACAAATGTTCGGTAGTAACGACACGTCGATAGGACACTGACGTTCGCCGGTTAGATGATACCCGGCAACGGGAGGAGTCGCTGATATAGAAAACCTGTAATTAACTAAGGCAGTAACGGGGTAATTATATAGGTCATAACACTCACATTTGGCCATAAGATAAAACTTGCGACCCATGGTTTAGAGAGATACAGATTAGTCAAGGTTATGTGGAAGTTTTACAGTCATCAAAACGATCTGATCGGTTAGTATGTTATTTCCTTGTGCGATATGAAGTCGGACGTGTTTGATGCAGAGCCAAACAATGAATAAAACTTCCAGGACTCGTCAGCGATGCTACATCATACAGCTGTTTCGTCCTTCTAGGACTCGTCAGTGATGCTACATAATACATCTGTTTCGTCCTTCTAGGACTCGTCAGTGATGCTACATCATAAAGCTGTTTCGTCCTTCTAGGACTCGTCAGTACTGCTACATTATACCGCTGTTTCGTCCTTCTAGGACTCGTCAGCGATACTACACCGTACAGCTGTTTCGTCCTTCTAGAACCCGTCAGTGATGGTACATCATACAGCTCTTTCGTCCTTCTAGGACTCGTCAGTGATGCTACATCATACAGTTATTTCGCCTTCTAGGACTCGTCAGTTATACCACATCATACAGCTGTTTTGTCCTTCTAGGACTCGTCAGTGATGCTGCATCATACAACTGTTTCGTCCTTTTAGGACCCGTCAGTGATGCTACATCATACAGCTGCGTTGTCCTTCTAGGATTCATCAATGATGCTACATCATACAGCTGTTAAGTCCTTCTACATCATACAACTGTTTCGTCCTTCTAGGACTCGTCAGTTATACCACATCATACAGCTGTTTCGTCCTTCTAGGACTCGTCAGTGATGCTGCATCATACAACTGTTTCGTCCTTTTAGGACCCGTCAGTGATGCTACATCATACAGCTGCGTTGTCCTTCTAGGATTCATCAATGATGCTACATCATACAGCTGTTAAGTCCTTCTACATCATACAACTGTTTCGTCCTTCTAGGACTCGTCAGTGATGCTACATCATACAACTTTTTCGTCCTTCTAGGACTCGTCAGTAATGCTACATCATACAACTGTTTCGTCCTTCTAGGACTCGTCAGTGATGTCAAAGGCCGACTTTTGAAGCCTAAGAGGAAACTCCCTTTATAATAAACGTATGCATTATAAAAACATGTATTTAAGTAGTTCTGAGTAAGTCATGATTGATACGATACAGTCCAACAAGTGGGGGTTATTTTACAGTGTTGGTAGAAAGCATCAGGAAGTAAAATTAGAAATGTTTGTCGTATTTAATGTTTACTCGAACTAAACAGCCGTACATGATAATACACAACGTTATTGCGTTATATCAATCAGGAAGTCCCATTTTTTAACAATTAAACAATCAACAAATTGAGCAGGAACTAGAAGAACATATGATAACATGTAAATCTATTTTATATCATTTATACATGTCAGTATGTATGTAAGTTTAAGTCAAAGTAGTTCCGCGAATACAACTGCCAGAGTTTATAGGATGTAATAATTAACACACTTCGAAACTGATACACAGGAGTGTACATTACAAACAATTACTATAACAATAACATATGATGTAGGTCATGTATATTATTGTATCAGGTTGATGTATGATTAAAAGTGTGTACACTGTTGTATCATAGTATGACAGAATCGTATTATGCAGAATATGTACACTGTTGTACCAGATATATGTGAACCGGTTTAACGACCGATCTTGTTATGTCGTGTCCTAGCTGTAGATGAAGATGGTCGGTTAACGTTCACAATTAATTCTAACATGGCTCTCATTACTTAGAATTGGATTCTGTCATCACTGAGTGAACTGTAAGACAAAATGTAGATACTCACCCAGAAGGATTCCACAAACTTTGGTGTTTTGGTCATTGTTGGTCAGACTAGTTCGCGAGCTCAACCCGGAAGCTACAACATATTTAACTCTTGTTTCGGTTTAACAGTCAAGCAACGTACATAGTTGATATTTAGGTTACGGGCGTTGATTACACAGTCTCTCCATCTAAGTTACCTGTGCGCTTTTGGCCTATACAGAACTGCACAGGTAATTTGAATTTAAATACTAGAGAGATAGCATATTTAACATCTGCGTTGTACTGGAAAGTGTAGGAGTGATGTTTTTCTACTTTCTTGAGCGTTAAGAACCTGTTTGAATCAGGATGATCGATTGCGTTTTCCTGTACATTAAGCTGACTACAACCAGATTGTTATTACATACCTACACACATACACACCTGTGATTTCTGCTGTTGTCTGTCCGAGCAGTAGTTGACACGCCGCCAATTTAATCACACCAGTAGTTGATTATTTATCTGTCTGAAAATTCACCGGTGAACAATTCAATTGAGTCTAGTCAACTTATCTAACATAAATAATTTCTACATATCTGCTGTAACTTGTATCTACGTTCAATGTAAAACGTCGACGTACATGAACGTGTGTAATCAAAGCCTAATTTTCCAGCTACAAAAAGACGATTTTGGATATTTTTATCCGAGTCATACTGATAAAGCTTCTTAAATTGTACGGGAGTATAGAGCTATATATAGCCGAGTGTATATTTGTATCATGTGATAGACAGCTGATACGCCCTTTAACCAAGCGTTATTAGAGTAAGGGATGACAGAGAAAGCGGTAACTCCTCGTCTGCAAACTTAGCAGTTCATATTACACAACATATAAAATAGTTTGTGATTCATTTCGTGTCTTATGTATTTACATTGTACATACATGACGACAGAGCTATGCCATGAATAACCTACCTGTGTTTTGATACAAGTGGAAAACACAGGTAGAGATAATTCAACGCTACAAACAGTGATCATCTATAAAAGTCATGCAAAGCGATCATAATTAATACGTATTATGTATATCCATTCCCACAGAGCTGCCTATCATGTATATAACTAGTATTAAAATAAACATACGCGACCGTTGTATGTGTAAGTGTACAATTGAATGTAATAAAATATGAAATATATTTAAATCCTTTCCTTTTTTTTAATTTTTCAGATGTTACCTTTGTCTCATAGATTATGAGTTTGGAATTTCGGTTGCATTAGGTGAAAGACTGAACTAGTCTTGATTTTTACAAAAAAAAAAAGCAAAAACAAAAAACCAAGCAAATTATATCCCCCGCTTTCCAAACATATTGTAAGTAAATATTTTAGAGGTTAGGAGTAAACATGTCATAATGCTATGTAGAATGATATATTCTCTTGAGCTATGATGTATTGCGATAAAGCCAAAGAAAGATGTAAAGGATTATAGAGAGTAGATGTTTTATTGGACATATCAAATATTAACCAATAAAGTGAACTAATTGAAGCAAACTTGCATACTAGTAACTATAATGGTGCAAAGCAGATCCATGGTCATCAGCAGGTATAGTAGTCCACACAATATGATGATCAGTATTGGGGACTGGATAATATTTGTGGGACTTCAAGTTACATCTAAATCAGATTATATTTAGGAAAATTAGAGCACAAAAACTGACCGATCAATGAAATGAAAGGATACCTAATTAGTATGCATAGATATTAACAGATGATGCTGATTGCTGAAGTCAGTCTTATGTGTCCTAATATGCATCTACTGACCAAGTTTCATCTAAATCGGATTTTATCTAGAGAAGTTTGAGCACGGAAATGAACCGACCAATGCAATAAAAGGACACCTCAGTAGTATGCATAATTATGAACAGATGACACCGATAGTCAAACTCAGTCTTAATGACCTCAAGTTGCATCTGCTGACCAAGTTTTGCCCAGATTGGATGATATTTGGGGAAGTTAGAACACGGAAACGAAAGTGTCAAAAACAGATTGACGGACGGACGGACGGACCAACCCAAATTAATATCCCCCGTTTCGGTGAAAGCGGGGGATAAAAAATCATGCAGCTGTGTCGTCTTTCTAGAATTTGTCAGTGATGCTAATGCTCTAAATTTTGAAGTCAGGAAGGTGACTGAAAAATATCTAAAGTGATTGAAAGAAAAATCAATTAAATACACTGTAATCGTTTTGGACAAAAGTGTTTAGACCGACTCAGTCTCCTTACGGACATTGTTATAGACCAGATTGTATTGATCATGTTGAAGAGATATTTCATTATATAACACACAGTATCAAAGTAACTATTGTCAATGATTTCCAACCTTGTTAAATAAAACGGTAGAAAGTTTGTTTATGTGGGAAATTGATACTGACTGAAAAGCGCGAGATTAGACACCGATTTCTACACCAGATAAAGTTGATGTGCCCAATCCACTGTCATATTAAACAGACAGCATATGTTTCCGTATCTCCAGCTGGAGAAGTAACTTATTTACGTACATCAAATAACTCACTTTGTATAACCCGTGAATCTTGATAGTCTGTTATAGAGGATCTAGGGTAGTGATTTATAGATGTAAATTTTACTGGCCAATATGGACGTGTATTTCAAGACAGAAAAACAAAAGATCGAGTTAAAAAAAAAAGAAATTAATTTATGACTACCGCCGCCCCTGAGAGATTTCTTCATTTATTGTTGAACCTTAAAATGTCATAACCCTTACTACGTCTCGTGATTAACATAAATGCATACATAAAGTATATATTGTCCCCTAATTACAAAAAGGAGGTGTTAGACAGAATATTTTAGTTTATCAGGAGTAGATTTAGACTATCTATTCTTATATATATACATAGATATAGTCCCAGTGTGTAACTACGTGTTTTACGACAGAGCGGTATGGTAGAAGACGATGATCTGTGAATCATTATACCAGGAAGTATCGTTTCCTGTTCTCTGATGAATTCGCATGCTAACCACTTGTATCAATGACATGTTAGTCGGAGATATGTTTTGATAAGTAATATGTGAAATGTTCCATTATGGATATAATATAAACTTCCGTGTGTAATACGAGGTGTCACGACAAGCGATCATCACGACTTGGATATTGGAGAGTGTCAGTGTTACAGTGAGTGAGTACGATTTGATAATATAGCAAAAAATATAAACAAACAAAAAAAAAACCAAAACAAAACAAACAAACCAAATATAAAAAAAACGAATAAACAAAACAAAAACAAAACAAAACAAAACAAACAAACAAACAAAAAATACAAACAAATAAACAAACAAACCCACCCACCCCCCCCCCCCCCCAAAAAAAAAAAAAAAAAAAATATAAAAACAAACAAACAAAAAGTCGAAAGAACTCATTATGTTTGTCACGTGTAATGAAAGTTTTCATAAGAAAGAATAATATTATATATTGATGAAGATGCTAACTGGAACCATTCGAAAATTTATCAAAATATTTTTAACACAAATTACTGATGATGTTTTTTTAGGAAATACACAATCAACAAGTATACATTAAAAGTCATATATTTGAAAGTTTGAATTATTATTATTTGTTTTAAAATAAAGAAACTTACAATACAGTAGGTATGATGCAGCAGATTAAAAAAATTGTAAGATTTTATGGTCGCCGACTTTATCTGGTCGGAGGAACTTTATAAAAGTTACCTCCCCTACAATAATGATTTGTAGTTTATTGAGTCTCAACAAACCGATATAGCTGATACCATAGTCTGCTAAATGGTTTTCTTCTTGATGCAGTGAAAACAATACATTGGAGTTAGCAGAGAATAGGGATGTTATGAGGACAAGTACATTGCAGTTAGCAGGGAATAGGGATGCTATGAGGACAATACATTGAAGTTAGCAGGGAACAGGGATGTTATTAGGACAAGTACATTGAAGTTAGCAGGGAACAGGGATGTTATGAGGACAATGCATTGCAGTTAGCAGGGATTAAGGATGTTATTAGGACAATACATTGCAGTAAGCAGGGATTAAGGATGTTATTAGGACAAGTACATTGAAGTTAGCAGGGAATAGGGATGTTATGAGAACAGTACATTGAAGTTAGCAGGGAACAGGGATGTTATGATAACAGTACATTGCAGTTAGCAGGGAACAGGGATGTTATTAGGACAAGTACATTGAAGTTAGCAGGGAACAGGGATGTTATTAGGACAAATACATTGCAGTAAGCAGGGAACAGGGATGTTATTAGGACAAGTACATTGAAGTTAGCAGGGAACTGGGATGTTATTAGGACAAATACATTGCAGTAAGCAGGGAATAGGGATGTTATTAGGACAAGTACATTGAAGTTAGCAAGGAATAGGAATGTTATGAGGACAACATATGTAGGTTAGCAGGGAATAAGGATATTATTTGGACAATACATTGAAGTTAGCAGGGAATAGGGATGTTATGAAGACAGTACATTGAAGTTAGCAGGGAATAGGAATGTTATGAGGACAGTGTATTGAAGTTAGCAAGGAATATGGATGTTATGAGGACAGAACATTGAAGTTAGCATTAAATAGGGATGCTATTAGGACAATATATTGAAGTTAGCAGGGAATATGGATGTTTTTAGAGACTAGAAATATTAGCATGAAATTAGCACGACACAAGCTAGCCATATCTCCTGGGCTTCGAAGGTAAGCAGTGACTGAGGAATTAAACAGAATTTATATAAATAAGTAGAGTTATCGGACTTTCTTATGGGCTAGTATGGCTAGCAGGGACTGGGGTTGCATAGGCTATCATGGAGTGGGTAGATTCACAAGACGTTAGGACGGTAAGGTCAAGTAGGTTTCCAAGGGGATAGGAAGGTTAGAAAAACCACAAGAAATTCCCAAGGGCAGGAATGTTGTTTACTTAAGGAAGGGCACGGGTGCTTTAAAATCAGAACATTTGACAGTGGTTCGAACGTTAGCAGAGTCTAGGGACAACAGCGGTGACTACGAACGTAAGTAAAGATTACGAAAAGTAGCGGAACGAAGTAACGAGAGTTACAC